GCCAGTTGAGGTGGCTCGGGCATCTGTTCCGGATGCCTCCTGGGCGCCTCCCTCGGGAGGTGTTCTGGGCATGTCCCACCGGGAGGAGGCCCCGGGGAAGACCCAGGACACGCTGGAGGGACTATGTCTCTCGGCTGGCCTGGGAACGCCTCGGGGTCCCCCCGGAGGAGCTGGAGGACGTGTCTGGGGTGAAGGAAGTCTGGGAGTCCCTGCTTAGACTGCTGCCCCCGCGACCCGGCCTCAGATAAGCGGACGAAAATGGATGGATGGATGTATATATGTGTATATATATATATATATATATATATATATATATATATATATATATATTTTATTTTTTTTTTCACAATAGCTTCAGAAATTTAAGATAACTCGGCCCCATATACATAGGACTTAAAGTGCCTATGAATGTAAGACTACAAATTTTTCATGAATTTTAAAACAAGGTTAACATTATATTTAAGATTTTACTTAAACGTTTACACTTTTCAAGCCAGCCTGGTGCCATCTAGTGCCTCCGCTCAATTTCATTTCTCTCCAGCGACTAGGTCAGGAATTGGGATACATTAGATGCTTTGCAAAATTTGCGGAAGTGCGAGTTCGGGCACCAGGCAATCAGCGAAGAGCCAGACATTCTGTGTTGGCCACGATTCCCGAGATCGAGGATTTAAAGCTGGAACAAAGAGAATGTTTGGTGAATTTTATCAAGTGGAAAGACGTTATTGCACTTCTTCCTATGGGATTTGGGAAAAGAATAACATACCAGTTAGACCCGTTAGCGATGCATTACATACATCATGACCAAATAGCAGCGATTGGTTAAATTAAAAAAAAAAACTTGCCTACCGTCAGGCGATCGAATACTAACGCTGCGAGGTCAGACGGTTTCTACGAAGTGAAACCGGCTGATGACTCAGGCTAACATTTTTACCCCGATTTTGGCCATTTATTAGGTTTCTAATTTAACTTCCTGGCTGGAAATTCTGAGTACTCTAGAGCAGGCAGGTCCAAACTACGGCCTGTGGGTCAAATGCGGCCCTCAGACAAATGTTTCTTGGCCCTCAGGCTTACAGGAGAATTGGCCCAAATTACCTTGCATCAATAAAATATTTACTTTTTATTGCAGTTTTTTTTTTTGAAAATCTACCTTGATAAAGTTAATGTTAATATTTAATATTTATTGTGTGGTTTTAAGGATCTTAGAATGAACAAAGGACTGATGAATCATTCTAACATGTTAAACATACCTGTATTTCAATTATTCACTGTACTGAGCACCAGTGTACGGCCCTCAACTGGCCCTCTGGTTCGGTTGTGTTTAGATATGTGGCCCTTGATGAAAAAAGTTTGGACAGCCCTGCTCTAGAGAATTCCATTACTGTTACCTGACTGGGCTCCTTTAATGTACACAGAAATGATCATTTGACATATTATTATGATATATCATTATATATTGACATTTATTTTATTGAAGTAATGTTTAATGTATCCAAAAAAAGCCCAAAAAATATATCTAAACTGCGTCAAACTTTTGGATAGAAGTGCGATGGCATCAACATTGGAATCGCTAAATTTGAACTCTGCGCTTCGTTTAATCAACACATTTTTCAACTTTTCTTTGCAAATTGCTTCTTGGTTGGTCTAAACTATCATTTATATTTACAACAAGTTTTATCCCACCAAATAAAGTCAAAATCAGAGAATCACCAAAACCGATCCCAAACAAATAACGATGATAGAGTTCAACATCTGACCTCACATAACGAACAAGAAAACTGCTGTGGGACGTAGAATAAAATTAAAATGTGAATCTTTATTGGTGCAGCAGTTTAAATCACTAACTCTGCATTCAGTTAGATAATAAAATGTCCTCTGGAAAGAACTAAATATCCTGTCTTTTTTGTAGAACAGATCTTGCTGTACCTGTAGTTTAGAGCCCTACAAATATGTTCTGAAATGCATTGGATTTTTTTAATTAAACGTCCTGCATTATCTATAATTGACTGTCATGTTAGAATGTTACCACATCAAAAACATACTTGGAGTTCTGTTTTCATTCTTATCCTTTTTCTTATTCTCTCTATAAACTACATTTCTTAAACTATCTATAAAAAAGCACTTAAAGTATTGGACAAAAAGCAGAATACTTGACAAATACAAATTTCTAAACTGGGACAACACAATCAAATATGCAGATTTAGTTTTGGTATACAAAGTTTTTAATAATCTTGCTCCACCTCCTCTAAAGGATTTTGTGAAAAGAAATTCAAATCACACAACAAGAGCAGCTCTAGAGGCGACTGCTCTGTGGCGTTTAGGAAAAGAGCTTTTGGACAGACTTTTTTGTTTATCGAGCAGGTCAAACATGGAACACCGACCTGCCCATGTACGAGAACTTTCAACACTGCAGCATTTTCTAAAGCTTTAAAACACTGGTTGTTCAATGGTCAAATCCGTCAACATGTTTTAACCAAATACCGTATTTTCCGGGCTATTAGACGCTCTGGATTATAAAGCGCACTGTCATTGAATGGTCTATTTTCAAACTTTTTTCACAAATAAACCGCACCGGACTTTAAACGAAACACAACAGTTGGATGGGTCAGTGGGACTTTGTTTGGCGCGTTCACGGTGACTCTGGGCTTTGTTCAGTTGTGGCGTGTAGGGAGGGTGTTGTCTGGGACCACTGGATTGTCGGCGTGTTCGCAGTGACTCAGTTGTTCAGTTGTGTCTAGAAGTGGCACATTGCATTTGCTTTTTTGGTTCGTTCCTCTGTTCCATTCCTCGTCGGTGTGGAGTGATGAGTGTGTCTGTGGGTGTTTGATGCTGTGCTTCGCTGTCTGCTCCGTGTGTGTTTGCGTGTGCTGCGGGTGGTGCGGCTTTGTAGTTTACTGAAGTCGTACTGGGACACCTGAGTGGATTCGTGTATAGGGCGCTCTGGATTGTAGGGCGCGCAGTCGTTTTTTGATGCAGTTGGAGGCTTAAGAGCGAAAATACGGTAATATTGTTCTATATTGAGGGGTTGTTGGTGTAATCCTTTAACTCTTGACTTTGAACTTTAAATGAACTCTTTGAAATGAATTGTATGTATAGTGAGTGTACAGTGAGTGTGTTTGTGTGATTGTTCCTGTACTTTTCCCTGTCCCGTCGATCATTGTTTTCCAAAGACTGGGTCACGACCATCAGGTGGGTCGCAAGAGATTTTTTGGGGGTCGCTTTGTCACGATCTGCATGTAGGTCTGCGATATACAGTTCTGACACATGAGAGAACGAGTGAGTCAGCGAATATATTATCGTCATTCTGCATCAGCAATTCTTCAGAATATCCTGTCCTCAGTATTATTTCTATTCTTATTCCTTTCACTTCTATATATATATGTGTGTGAATTGGGATTTTCTGTGGTCACCAAAATGAAGACAAAGCACAGAAACAGACTGAATGCTGCGCCTGATCTGCTGCTGCGCTCTCCTCCTGCACCCGGACTGGAACACGCTACAAAGACAGGTCCACCTATCTCATTAGAAATGCTGAAATGTTAAGACAGGTTTTGTATAATTTCTAATCTTTTTGTAATTATTTTATTGACTATGTTGTTCCAGTATTGCTGGTTCAATTGAATGTTGAAAAGAAAAAGAAAAGGGCTACATTTAATCTCCAAATAGGTGACTTAGGCTACGTTCAGACTGCAGGGCTTAATGCTCAATTCCGATTTATTGTGCAATCCGATGTTTTTGCGAGGTCGTTCACATTTCCAATTAAACGTGACTTGTATGTGACTCCAGTGTGAACATTAAATGGCCCGAAAGTGTTCCGCATGCACACTGGAGGACATGACGACGTCAACCACAGTGAGCGTGCTCTGTGTTTACGGAAGTTGTCCAAACATGGACGCGAGCATTGAGCACCTGGTGATTTTAAAGTTCCTCTCGTACCGGAGCCAGAACATGAACAACTTACTTGTTTTAAGGAGGAGATTGAGAAGGAGAAGAACGAGGTTTTTGGCCGTGGTGTTTTGTGGGACAGCGGCAGCAACGCCCGTTGAAAGGAACGTGTGGATGTGGAGACGTAGCCAAGAGTGGTGAGTGGTGATGTGCTTCACTTCAGTGACACAGAGTTCATTAACAATTTTCGCCTACTTCAGCGCAGAATAGTGATGTTTGTGGCTTGTTGATAACGTGTAGGTCGGATGAATGCACTTTGGCCGTTCAGACTGAAGTCGCATGTCAAAAGATCGGATATGTATCGGTTTTAGGAGCTCGTATTGAAGTGGCCTGGGTCACATTTGAAAAAATCGGATCTGTGTGGTTCAGACTGTCATTAAAAGATCAGATACAGGTCACATAGGGGCCAAAAAATCTGATTTGGGTCACTTCAGGCTGCAGTCTGAACGCAGCCTTTTAGAGCCTTTTATTGCTGCTTCAATGATTTTCATTGTTTAAAACTTGAATAATAATAATTGCTCAGAGACACGATCACTCAGTAAACAATAAAATATCCTCATTAAGGTTCAATAATGGTCATGTTCACCTTTATTTTGTGATTTATAAATAATGTCTATTGACTTGGGTCGTGAAGTTTTGTGACTTTTAAAATATGAGTCCCCAGAAAAAAAAAAAAAGTGAAACACTGCTGTAGATTATTTGACATCAACCTGCCGAGGGACTGAAGATGGAAATGAGCCACATTGGTTATAATCTTTACATATTTACATTTTAAATGTTCATTAATATGTGCTGTCCCTTTACAAATAAATGATTAAGAAAAAGAATATGCCAGATTTGTGTGTTAAACATGTGTGAATGAAACGAAACACAACGCCAAGTATGTTTGTGACGAGGAAACAACATTATAACACAGATGAGAAAATAGAGTGATACGGGACCTTTAAACATAAAACGCAACTCTAATCGCAATATTTGTCTGAAAAATTACACTTTGATTTCATTTTTCCCCCCAAACAAACCCTTGCGAACTGTGCAGTGTGTGGTTGTATTCTTACCCGTCCGTTGGCCTCCCCCTTCCACCAGCCCTGGTCTCCTCCGATCTTGCTGTAGATCTTCACCACGTCTCCTTCTCTCAGTGACAGCTCCCTCATGTCCCGAGCGGCGAAGTTATACCTGGCAACCGCCGTGCTCACCACCCTGGGAGTAAACACTGAAACAGGACAGGAAAAGAGATCAGTCAAGATTAGAACACAAGTCTCTGCTGTAACTTTTTGGTTGGGGGTCCGTCATCTGCTTGTTTCTATGGATACGTCATTGCTCTGCCTGGAATGTCCCACAGTACGACATTAACCAGCTCTATTTTACATTTATTCAATTACAGGTGGTTTTATAGCTCAAAAAAACCTTGACACAGATCTGACCTGTAACTTGATCTGGTTTCATTTCCATGAAGATAGAAAGCATTAATGCCATACTGTGAAACATTCCAGACAAAGGAATAACATCTCCAAGAAGAACCAGAAATGTTACATGATGCATTTTTAAAGTGCAAAAAACAGGTCAGATTAATGTATGTTTTGGACTATAAGTCACTTTTTTGTTCATGGTTTGGGTGTTTCCTGCGACTTATACTTCGGTGCAACTTATATATTAAAATTTTCAGACTGACAGCTGCGAGAGGCTCTAGGCTCTAGGCTTGTGTGTCAGTATCTAGTACTACTTTTACTCCTGTACCACTGTCACTTTGCTCTACTGCGCATGTCTCCTGTAGAAATTGCTGCTGTCTCTCTGCAAGTAGTGAAACATTCAGCCGAAAACTGTAATTGAGCAGCAGAAAGACAGTTTGGAGTGAGTGAGAAACTTGTGAGGGACTGGTGGAAAGCGAGGATGGAGAACACAGCTTCACGGGAACCAGGAGGGTGCAACATGTAACTTTCCTGGAAATCACTGGATGAATCGACAAAGCCTCGACTTCAATAACAACCAAAACCATCCTGTCGGGATTCAGAAAGGCCGGAATAATTCTAACTGGAACTGATGCTGAGTCTGACGACAGCTACACAGAAGAGGAAGCGGCGCTCTGTTTACCTCATGGATCTATGGTTTATCTCCGGAGGTTGCGCAGAAGTGACACAGAGGATGAAGAATTCAATGGATATAATGATTTGGAGTGAGATGGAGAGTTTGGTAAACTTGTTCTGTTTTTTTGTTTATGCTATAATTATCTGAATAACCATTAATATGTTACGTTAACGTATTAGCAGTAAACATATTCTGTTATTATTATGATAATTTGCCTTTCAAGATGAAATGTTGGTTCCTATCCTCTGTTTTTACTAAATAAATTTCCCCAAAAAGTGCGACTTATAGTCCAGAAAATACAGAACTTATTTTACTAACTATATTCAAGATTTTACTTAACTTTACTTTTATCTGTTAACACATACCATATTTATATCACCATGTTGACTTTTATTTTTTCGAGAAAGCTACATTTTAAATATTAAAATGTGTAATGTGTAATCTTTACTCCCCATGCTAAGTCACTCCTCCTTCAGATCACAACACAATTACATCGTTAATGAAACTACTGCACATTGAATTAGGTTTGTGAAGTTGTGTATTGTTTTGTATCATGCTTTTGTATAATATATGGGAAAAAAATAACACTCTGTGATAGGGTTGTGGGCGGAGCCTTGGACAGAATCTTATAGCTAACCGTAAGGAGGGTTTGAATAGGGCCCGGGAGAGGTCGCTAGATTACTCAAACATGCATGGATGAGATCTAAACTCTCTTCAGACTTCTTCAAGTTTTTGATGAGGAAACAACGTTACAACACGGTAGAAAGATCCAAAAAGTCAATTTTGCGTAATACCTCCTCTTTAAAACTTTGGTTGAAGTGTATAAGTTCAGTTCCTGTTACCTAGCAACCATAACTCTAACAAAAAATGCAGAATAATTACGCCCAGACTGATGAACAAACATGATAACACATTTTACATTTAGTTGAATGAAGATTAGAGGTGCACTGATGTAACTTTTCTGGTGGGGGGTCCGTCACCTGCTTGTTTCAGAGATGTTACTGCGGTGCCTGGAATGTTCCACAGTATGACATTAAACATATCTATCTCCATGAAAACAAGCGGGTCACGCCACTAGGCCAAGTTACAGGTCAGATCTGTGAAGGAGGCGACCCTACTGACAGTAAGAACGCATGTGTTTCAAGACATCTTTCTCAGCAATTATTACCAGTGTTGGGAGTAACGCGTAATAAAAGTATTGAATTATTGTAATGCATTGTTTTTTGCTGTAATGCAGTAATGTAAGGCATTGACAGGGAAAAAATTGTCATATTTTACTCGCATTACAATGCATTTTTAACCTGGATTGAAGTGGTGGGTTTCTCGTTTTTCTTCATACAAATTTGCTAAAATCACTGCGATATCAGCAGCAGCGAAACACCATCGTTAATGTTCCGAATGTCGAGACGGGCCCGGAGGTGCGCCAGCCTAGACCATCGGTGACCACAGGTGAAAGGACCAACGCAGAGCTCCACACCTCAAGGGGCAAAGCACAGCTGAAGCCCAAATGCAGTTCGCGGACACCCTGCTCCACGAGCTCAGGGTTCTCTCAAGGTCGGTCCTAGATTCCAAGTCGTAGTCCAAGATTAGTCCTGGTTTGGTTGTGGTTTAGTCCTAGTTTAGTTGTGGTTCAGTCCTGGTTTAGACTTGGTTTCGTCCTGGTTTAGTCCTGGTTTAGACCTGGTTCAGTTCTGGTTTAGACCTGGTTCAGTTCTGGTTTAGTCCTGGTTTAGTCCTGCTTAGTCCTGGTTCAGTCCTCGATTCAGTCCTGGTTTAGACCTGGTTTACTCCTAGTTTAGTCCTGGTTTAGTTTTAGTTTAGTTCTGGTTTAGTCCTGGTATAGTCCTGGTTTACTCCTAGTTTAGTCCTGGTTTACTTCGACTTTAGTCCTGGTTTACTTCAAGTTTAGTCCTGGTTCAGTCCTGGTTTAGACCTGGTTTAGACGTAGTTCAGTCCACCTGGTTCAGTCCTCGGTTCAGTAGTGGTTTAGACCCAGTTTAGTTCTGGTTTAGACCTGGTTTAGTCCTAGTTCAGTTCATATACAAGAGTTCAGCATCTTCACAGTTATTTTGTTGAGAGTAACTTAGAGTACTGCAGTAGTCATGTAATGTTTTACATTTTAAATACAGTAATATCGTAATGTAACAAATGACTTTGAAATGACAGTAACAAGTCATAAATAACACATTACAGTTTTGAAGTAACTTGCCCAACAGTGATAAATACATCCGTAAATGGCAAAGCAATAACATCCCCTGCAAGAAAGTTACACAGTGCACCTTTACAGTTATTTGGAAAAACTGCCCTCCTTGTGCGTAAAACATGTCTACATTTAGTTTTTTGTTTTAGAACTCAAGCACTACTTCCTGTATTTTTACCTTTTTTCCACAAAGTGACACTGAAATGACGTAAAACTCTGACAAATACGCACTATCCTCCAAACCAAGTCATAATTAGAAAATCACAAAACCCTGTCTTTAACCGTGTAGTTTTCCGGTAAAGTTATGACACACGCGGAGACGTTAATAATGAGTAGAGTTGTACGAGTCTCAAAATGGCCGATACATGATGGGAAGAGGACAGAGCGTTTCATCCGGTGCTGAGAAAATGACTTTTTTTTGTGGTTTAATGAGTGAATATCTTCCCTGGAAATGTTCTGGTAATTGGAAGTTACGCAGCGGTTTATGTAAAAACGTAATGAGGTTGCAATCACACAAGCCGATTTGAAAATTACAGGAAAAGGGGGAGCAGGAAGGAGGGAGGAGAGGAGACTGGTATGGAAGATCAATTGTTCCATTAGATTTTGAATTTTAAATACGCTGAATTTGTCACTTTGAATATTTTAACTCTTTTATTCGGAATTTTAGTTGCTGAAATGTTTCAAATTCAAAATAAAATGCTTCTGCCATGGCATCTGTGAAAAATTTCCCTACGAATTTTACACTCTGAATTTTGACTGTTGAATTTAAGGGCTTAAAAAATATTTGTGCTGAATATTTAAAAGGTGTTTTATTTAAAGTGTTCATAGTTTAAAAAAAAAAAAAAATCTAAATGAGAAATTCAGTTGCATTTCAAATTCAAATTCTGATCAAACAAATTATCTTCCATAGACTGGGCAAAACTGAACACAATATAGTTACATTTTACGTGTTACAAGTTACATTTACTCGAGTAACTTTTTTAATAAATTGTACTTCTCAGGCCTCATCCACATTAGTATGTATTCGAGTTGATTTCATTGCGGATGCAGTGTTCGTCCATAATAATCTGAACGGTTCTAGAGACGGAACGATCTGGAGCCACCAGCTCTTACGAATTCATCAGAGTATTGGGTAACACTGTATTTAGCCTTAATAAAGCATGAACAAAGACTTAATTAATAATGATTCACACTTAGTAACTACTTAATTACTACCTTAATTAGCACTTGCACTTAATTTGCCTGTGCTGTAAATAGTTACTCATAATTATTTCATACTTAATTACTCATGGACTAATCATTTGAACATTTATTAATCATTAGTAAACTATGAGAGAATGATTTACTAATAATGCAATGCAATGATAATTCAGGCAGCTGTTATCTGTTAGTTAAGTCTTTTGGAGAGCTTTTCTAAAGTGAAGACTAATTATCCTTTATTAAGCATTTACTAAGTGTGAATCATTATTAATTAAGTCTTTGTTCATTATTAATTAAGTCTTTGTTCATGCTTTATTAAGGCTAAATAATGTGTAGTTATTATAAAGTGTTACCGAGTATGGATCTGATCCAGCACTGTGTGGACCCTTGAAAAACATTGATACACTGATGTAGGAGCTCTAGTTGCGTCCTTATTGGACCATGTCACTGTGACTTGTGCCTTCCTGATTCACTGGGTTCGTGACATCGGTCATGTGATGCTTTTGCGGAAAACAGTTTAAACAAACCAGAGACAAACTGAACCTCGTTGTCAGTCCACGGAAAGACTGTTTTCACACTTGCCGTCTTCCTCGGCTCGAAATCGGCTGCTGCAACTTCAAACACGGTGCTCCACTTCCTTGTTTTTACCACACACGTGACATCATGATGCCAGCCTAGTCATGTGACGAGCATTTCAGGCAGGTTGTGTGGAACTTTGATTGCGGACACAGAAACAACATGTCTGTTATTTCCGAGTGATCCGTTTTCAAAACAGTGACCTTTTCATCCATGGAGATGTTCTTGCTTTGTCTGGAGTGATTGACAGTATACTACTGAACCTTCAGGCAGTGACCACCACTTCTGACCAGAACTGAAGAAGCAGGTTGGATGAACTGTGAAACTTATTAGATGAAAAAAACTTGTGTTCAGTCGACAGAGTTGAATTTCTCCTTTACCATACTGAACAAAAGGTAAAAGGAGCTGTTAACTTCAAAACTACAGCTTGATGACATCACAAGTTGGAACAGAGTAGTTTGGGCTTTGGAGATGAAGAGTACACATGTGAATGAAACACAACACAACTCCAGGTCTGTTTTTGATGAGGTAACAACATTCAAATTCAAGTGAAATTTGTGTAATGTAGGACCTTTAACCACTTAAAAAAAAACAACCAAACAAATGAACACAGATGGACAAATAAATGGACAGACAGGCTTAAATAGAGACAAACAAAAGCGTAGCGAAAAGGGCTGCAGTACCTGACCAGAAGGGGGCAGCGGTCGGAGAAGAGGAGAAGTTGAGGCCTTGCGGGCTGAGGAAGGAGAAGTTGTAGGAGGCGCAGGTGGCGGCTGGCGAGCGGCATACAACGGAAACAACAGAAGAAGAACACAAAGGCAGAGGTAAAGCAGCGGGCAGGCAGGCGTGCAGCAGCGTAAGAACCAGAGATTACACAAGCAAAGTCAATACTGTCGGATCAAAAAAGAAAAGCAGGAGGTAAAGGAGTTTAAATTTAGGGGAAATCAAAAAGATAAAGGTGGACTGTGCAAACTGCAAAGCCTGGTTATACGGTTTAGTGTGTGGGAAGAGCTCGAAACTGCTGCGGACTAAAATAATGCAAGTAAGAGGAGTGTTACTTCAAAATAAAGTTTACTCAAGTACAAAGTGGTCCAAATGTAAATGTATAATAATCATCAGGACCATAGGGACATTTTTGGCACTCAAAATCTTTTACTTTTCAGTACCTGTATTTTTTCAATACCTGTACTTTTGTAAACACCTGTACTTTTTCCCAGTACCTGTACTTATTTTAGTCCCTGTACTTTTTAGTACCTGCTCTGTTTTCAGAACTTTTTCTACTTTTTTCATTATTTGTACTTCTTTCCAGTACCTTTATTTTTCCACTAGCTGTACTTTTTCAAGAACCTGTACTTTTTTAGTGCCTATACTTTTTTAGTGCTTGTATTTTTCCAGTCTCTGTACTTTTTCAGTCCCTGTATTTTTTCCCTACTTGTACTTTTTTAGTCCCTCTACTTTTTAGTACCTGTTCTGTTTTCAGAACATGTCATATTTTCCATAACTGTATTTCTTTCCAGTACATTTATTTTTCCAGTCTCTGTACTTTTTCAGTACCTGTACTTTTTTTTAGTCCCTATACTTTTTCCAGTAGCTGTATTTTTTAGAGTCCCTGTACCTTATTTTAGTACTTGTGTTTTTTCAGTACCTGTATTTTTCCCAGTAAATGTATTTTTTTCAATACCTGTACTTTTTCAAGTAACTGTACTTTTCTTTAGTCCCTGTACCTTATTTTAGTACTTGTGTTTTTTGAGTACCTGTATTTTTTTTCCAGTACCTGTACTTTTTTAAAGTCCCTGTACTTTTTTTTAGTTCCTGTGCTTTTTGAATCTCTGTACTTTTTCAGTACCTGTACTTTTTTCAGTCCCTGTACTTTCTTTTAGTCCCTATACTTTTTTAGTACTTGTATTTTTTTAGTCCCTGTACTTTTTCCAGTATCTGTACTTTTTCATTACCTGTACATTTTTAGTCACTTTACTTTTTTAGTACTTGTACTTTTTTCAGTACCTGTACTTTATTTTAATCCATGTACTTTTTCCAGTCCCTGTACTTTCTTTAATCCCTGTACTTTTTTCAGTACCTGCACTGTTTTCAGTACCAGTTTTTTCAGTACCAGTATCATTTTAACAACCTGTACTTTTTCCAGCAACTGTATTTTTCTGCACTTTTTACCTGTATTTTCAATAGCAAAAAGTAAATTAATTAACAATGCTCATTAATACACACACATTTAAACTGAACATGTTGCCACAAACGATCAAATGATTCCAGCATCTACAACCTGTCATCTTTTACTCATTTTTAGACTCTTTGGAGGTGATCACTCTAACCCAGAGTCTGTTCTGTTTCATTGTGTAGTACAGTGTGAGCAGCAGGTTGTCTATGGTGCTTACCTGGTGACCTGGTGCTGCCTCTGGTGAGTGACCTCTCTCTCGACTTGTACGGGTACCTCAGCGTCGTGTCCAGCAGTTTGAAGCTCTCCTTTAGCGAGTGGGTCTGGTAGTACTCCACAAGTTCCTGAATGGATTGATTAAATGGATGAATTAAAATAGATAAATACCTAAACATTACAGGATGATTTTAGCAGAGTTTCACAATAATAAGATGAGAAATGATACAGTAACACAATGGTCTTCAACGTTTTTCAGGCCAGGGACCCCAAACTGAAGGCGAGCTTATATAACTATATATATGACATACAGTTGTGGCCTAATGTCGTATATAAAAAGCTACTCTGTTATTGTACATTCAATACTAGAGGGGTGTTCCATCGAAGTCGCTTAACAAGTCCAGGTTTATCCTGAAATCCTGAGCTGAATCTAACTCAATCTCCAGTTTAAGCTGTTGAGGAAAATAACCCTGCTTAGACAAAAAATTACACTCAAAACAGAAATAAAGTCCAGATAATTTACTTATTCCAAAGTCATACTTGTACAAGGAGTCTGTGCTGACATTCCCATGCAGAGACTGAATATTTACACCTATACAATGATTTTTATACGCAAACTATAGTGGGAGGCGACCATGGTTTAGACTTAGTGCCTCTTCGTTGGTGCACAGGTCAGCCAGGCCTTTTGGCACGTTGTACAATCTTATCCGATTGTGACAAGGATCCTCCAGATTCATCTCACTCCCCTTACGAGAGTCTCGCTGGTCTGATCAGGGTGATGAGTCGTGAGTCAGCATATCCCTATCAATAAGTCCTTGCCCTATTTAGTAAATTGATTAGACATATAGGTAGAAATTGAATATCTTGTACATGAACTGAACCTATCTCTGCATCCCTTATCTGTTTTTCTGGGTCATTGTATAGTGAATTATAATAGTACAATAATAAAATATAGCAGCAGATCAATAACTGTATAGTAGTACATCAGTTACATCATAGCAGTAGTTATATACCACCTAAGCCTAGTTAATTATCCTAACAAAGCCTCAACTCGTTCCATGACAGAAATAAGCCCAAGTCTGACCAAAGCTAAACTCAGGCCTGAACTTTAAGCTGTACTTTGTGTGCTCGCGGTGACTCTGAGAAGACCAGAGCAATGGAACAACGACATCGCAGACAATGGGCTCAAAATGTGACTTTTTTAATGATCTGATTAAACGAGAGAGGAGCCACTGCGTGCACGGACAAGAGTTTGATATGAGACACAGAGCTTTTCCGGTCATTCTGATCTGAGAAGCGAGAGAAAAGACGAGACTCCCTCCTCCTCTCCCGGTTGCTCCGTGGACAGAGAGGAATCTGTGGAGTGTAGAACCTGGTTAATACGTCCGGGGAATGAAGTTGCCTCAGCTCTTCCCGATGCGCGGTAGTATGTGCGGAGCTTAAGTTGCACTGTGCATAAAAGTGAACCTGTAACGGAACTCTGTAGCCTAGAAGAAAGGATAACATCCGTGCAGATGTATTTGCAGTTTGACAGGGAGCGAGAGACGAGGGAGTGAAGAGAGAGACAGACGTGATGAAGGAGCGAACAGACAGAACCCAATGAAAACCAGTTCATCCTCATCCTTTAAAAATGCAAGTAATATTAAAAGAAAACAAAGTCTAATCAACCAAAGATTTTGCAACCCCCCTGTTGAAGACATCTGCACTAATAGAAATCATACACTCACTTGACTGTTACACAAAGCCACAAAAATAACTTCAAAGTAACTTAGGCCAGTTTCTGATCATAGTCGTGTGACTTGAACTATTTTAAAAGGATGTAAGTGACATTTTGTATGACACATTCGGAAATAAAATGACTTGGTAGTAGCAAATAAACTGGCCAAGAGTCACGCTCTTGGCATAGGATAATACATTATTTGCAGATGTCTCATGGTCCGTTCAACTAAGGAGAAAAAAAGATGATGCCTTCATTGTAAATAAATATTTTCTTTTTGGAATAGTCCTCACCAATAAGCTCTCAAACTTCTTGGCCTCTGTGATGTGGATCCAGCTGTCCTTTTCGATCACCTTAATGTGTTTAACTTCATCATTGAACCTGAGAGAGAAAAAAGACAAAAGAGGTGTTAGTACAAATGTTAATACAGGATATCGGTCGGGTTATAGCAACTCAACTGGCTAATCCTACTAAAATCCAAGATGAAACTGCAAAAACTGGTACTCTTTTACCACAGAACAGACTAAAATAAAAGCATGTTTATTTTTCATTATGGGAGTTTACTGCACTGATGTATGTCATACGATATTTCTCAGCTGATTCGTCTGTATTCAGCCTCACATTTTACTATGTGTAGTTTTATGTATTTTAGCATGTTAGTGTGTGTGTGAGTGTGTGTGCATGTTGTGCGTGTGCGTCTGGGTTGTTAGGTTGTGTGGGGTCAGGCAGCTGTGTGGGCTGAGTGGGTGGGTGGAAGGAAATGTGGGATTGTTTTTAATCACTGTAAAGCACTTTGTGTTGCATTTTTGTATGAAAAGCGCTTTATAAAAAAAGGTTGATTGATTGATTGACTGATATGTTCTTACACTTAGCGGGCTCGCATTGCCACAAACCTGAATTTTCTTTGGCCTGGAGGAGAGTCACCTGCTTGGTTCCATGGAAATGTTATAAATTTGGCTATACTCTTCCAAAGTATGGCATACAACTTATTTATCTCCATGGAAAAAGTTCCAAATTATGGTTTTAACTTTCTATTTCCATGGAATCATACACTTGATTTTTTACCTCCAAAAAGTGAAATATTATTACTTTAAAGGACCTATATTAAGCTAAATTGATTCTTATGAGTTTCAAGTCATGTTAGAATGTTGTTTCCTCCTCAAAAACAGACCTGGAGTTGTGTTTTGTTTTTCATTCACATGTTTGAGTAATCCTTTATTATTAGTTCGTTTACATCTTCAAATCTCAAAATACTCTGTTCCACCTTGTGATGTCATGAATCAGTAGTTTTTATGTCAACAGCCTCTTTTTTTTACCTTTTGTTCAGGAGAGATGATCAATTCCAGGGCTAAAATGATGATTTTAGTGAAGATGTATGGAGTTTAAATACAAAGTGGAGCATTTCCTGCATTACTGCATGACATCACAAGGTGGAACAGAGTGTTTTCAACAACTCCGGGTATGTTTGTGATGAGAAAACATGTTTATACTAGATCTAAAAATATTATAAAATGGACACTTTAATACATTTGAAAGAAAAAAAAAAAAGCATAAATATGGGCTATGCTTTCACTATTAGAAAAAAGGGGCATATGCTTCCAGATTTCCTGAGCACGGCGATGTGTGATTATGCACATGTTATGGTTAATCAAACAACTAATTACATAAATAAATACAAAATGTAAGCATTTCGGAGCTGTAATGAGGCACAGCTTGCGTCTTGTTTCCTCTGAGACTGTGTCCTCAGGGAGTCTCCACACATAATGATGCTGTTTCTCGCCTTTTATTTACCTGACGCTGATTTGCAGTTAAAGTCTGTTTCTATGCAATGACTCACACACCATATATCCATAGGAAAAAGTGCCTTGCTCGATGACACAAACACCAGCATGCTCAGATTAGCTGGGATAAAACCTTCAACTTCATTCAGTATCCTTATTTAAAATGCAGTTTGTGAGATTCTTAGCATTGTTCGTCTGTGATGGTAAAGGTAGCCTGGTTCATCAGCTGGTTTCACTTTGTAGAAACCGTGTGACCTCGCAGCATTAGGATTCGTTCGCACAATGGTAAGTGGGTACTTTTTTTATTTAACCAATTGCTGCTATTTGGTCGTGACGTGTGTAATGCACCAGAACGCTCAGTGGTGTCCAAGTAATTACCGGCACAACAGCAAACAAAGCAGAGAGTGAACATGTCTGTCAATGATCATTGTCATTTCTGCGAGATGAACTTGTGAATTAAAAGTACAATAAAAAATGTGAAGTTTGTATTTGACAAAGGAAGTGTAAAGGAGGATAGTGTATGCAGTCTGCTATCACATCTCGGGTTGGTTGAGCTCTTCGCTGATTGGCCAGTGTGCGGTCTACAAACTTCTGGGGTTCTTAAAAACCGTCTAGTGTATGCCAATTCTTTAACTACAGTGTTCCCTCGTTTATCGCGGGGGTTACATTCTAAAAATAAACAGCGATAGTTGAAATACGCAAAGTAGTCAACTTTATATTTTACAATTATTATATCTGTTTTAAGGCTGTAAAACTCACCACACACTTGATACACTTTTCTCACACAGGACAGTTACAACCCTTTTTGCATCCTTCTTAAAACTTATTGCTGCTGTTGTCCTTATGTTATTTTCCTCCTTCTTTATGTAACGAATGAAGATTAATTTATTCCTTAATGGAGCCCTACAGTGTGGAGTCCTCCATTTTTGGAGACCCGCACCAGCCCATTAACCTGAGATTATATTAAACTTTTGTGCTGCATATGCCACGGACTGAACCAAGATTAAACCAGGACTAACCCAGGACTAACATAGAACTGATTCCAGGACTGAAGAGGAGGACTAAACCAGGACTAAACCAGGACTCACGATCGGGACAGGCTTGGAGGTGACCGCAGGAGAAAGGACCGATGGTGAGCTCTGCACCTCCCTGTAAGGGCGGCAATTGCCCGATCTCACTGCACTTCAGAGTCACACTGCTAGTGATCGAACACTTACGTAAATTTGGCTGAACGCATTCTGTACCGGAGGCAAGGAGGAGATTGATTGACAACGGTCTACAATAAGTTTAAAAAAAAAAAAAAAAAAAGCTAAATTGCATTAAAAAAAATCTGCGAAACAGCGAGACTGTGAAAGGTGAACTGCGATATAGCGAGGGACGACTGTAGTCGCTGAAGAGAAATGAAATTAAGCAGAGAAACTAGGTGGCGCGAGCTTGGCTATGTTAAATCTGCATTGCGTAACCTGTTCTGGTGGAGAGTCCGTCAAACGTTACATAAACGTTACATAGTGCACCTTTTAATGAGACATGCTTTTGTTCACTTTATAGTTACAGACCAAATATGAAAGAGACTAGTTACGTATTATTACTTTAAAGGTTCCATATTAGGCAAAATTGATTCTCATGATTCTTGGCTATGTTAAAGGTGCATTGCGTAACTTGTTCTGGTGGAAGGTCTGTCAAACGTTACATAAATGTTACATAGTGCACCTTTTAATGACGCTTTTAGTCCATGGAGATGTTATTATGTTATGTTATTTGCCCGGAATGTTCCACAGTATGGCATTAAATGTTTCTATCTTCACATAGACCAAACCAGACAAAGTTACAGGTCAGATCTGTGGAGAAGTCACCCCATTCACTGTCAGGATACCTGTTTCTCTAGGTACTTTTGAGCTATTAAAGCACTTGTGATAGAATAAATGTAAAGTAGAGCTGTTTAAAGTCACGCTGTGGAACATTCCAGGCAGAGCAACAACATATCCACAGAGAAAAGCATTTAACGGACCCTCCACCGTAAACGTTACATGATGCACCTTTTAATGAGATGTGCGTTTGTTCACTTTATAGCTACAGACCAAATATGAAAGAGACTAGTGGGCTCACTTCTGGTTGAACACTGGGACTGCTCTCTCTGATCTGAATACTCACACAGTAACTGCAATCATGAATCAGTGCTAGTGCAGCCAGCAACCAGTAGTTAGCGCCACAATGTAAATTTTAAAGAGACTTTTTATATGAAATGTTATATGCATGAGCTCTGTGTGCCCGGATACAAGGCTAATAGAGCCCAATAAAAGTAGATTTATTGTTAATTGCAAAAACACTGGACATGACGGCCAAGTTGTTTATGCTGAAGACAATTAGAAAGCAGACTGAGCCTCGCATGAATTTGCCAGTTTCTGTGCTCAAATCCAGTTGGTATAAATCTAAAAGGATCTAAATCCACAGCCTGTTCATATACTGAGAATGATTGGGAAAAAAAAAAGATAGAAAAAAAATAAAAAACTTCTACTAGTATATATGCAAATGTAATGGTTGTAAAACAAGATCATTAAAACTATAGACACATTTATTATACAATACTACTACTGTGAAAAATATAATTCATAATAGGATTTATTTTAAAAAGTAATGTAGTTTCATTTTATTGGTACATGATTATTATTATTTGTATGGCATGATTATATTATATTATACTAATTTATGGTATTGTGGAAAGATTTTTTGGATTGGTTGGTTGGATAAAGCACCTCCAGTCCAGCAGGAGGAGCTCTGGTTTGGTCCGGGCCATTAAAACTACTCAACTGAGATCTGAACGGCTGCTGTTTTATTTACTCAAGTTTTATCCACATTTTACAGGGGCTGTGGTTGTAACACAAGTTTAGGCTAAGGTTGTCAAAGTAGGACTGCAGTAACTTTTTAAACCAGAAGAGGTAATCTAATAAGAAAAATGGATACCAGGATGGATTGGAGTCTAAAATGTAATGATTTTCTATTGATTACATTAATTGGTGGATGAAGTACCATATTTTCTGCACTTTTTTCATGGTTTGGGTGTTTCCTGCGACTACTCCGGTGTGACTTATATAGTAAAAATTTCACACTGACAGCTGCGAGAGGCTCTAGGCTTGTGTGTCAGTATCTACTACTACTATTACTCCTGTACCACTGTCACTTCGCTCTAATGTGCAATGGCCATGTCTCCTGCAGAAAGAGCCTCGGTCCTGCTGCAAGTAGTAAAATATTCAGCCGAAAACGGTAATCGAGCTGCACAAAGAAAGTTTAGAGTGAGCGAGAAACTTGTGAGGGACTGACGGAAAGGCGGGATGAAGAACACAGCTTCATGGGAACCATGAGGGTGCACCATGCAACTTTCCTGGAAGTCACTGGATGGATCGACAAAGCCTGGACTTCAGTGACAACTGAAACCATCCTGTCAGGATTCAGAAAGGCCGGAATAATTCTAACTGGAACTGATGGACGCGACGCAGAATGCAGAACATAGAAAGCGACACTCTGTTTATCTCTAGAGGTCGCGGAGTTTCCCAGAAGTGACACCGAGGATGAAGAATTGAATGGATTTAGTGATTTGGAGTGAGATGGAGAGTTTGGTAAACTTGTTCTGTTCTGTTGTTTGTTATAGTTTATCTGAAGAACTGTTCATATGTGACGTTAACAGTCTGTTGTTCTCTGTTCTATTGTTATTACTAGAACTTGTCTTTCAACATGAAATGTCGGTTCCTGGTCTCTGATTTTATAAAATACATTTCCCCCAAAAAGTGCGACTTATATATGTTTTTGTTTTTTTTTTTTTTTCATTGTGCATTTTTTGGCTGCTAAGACTTATACTAAAGAGCGACTTATAGTCTGGAAAATATGGTACTCAATTATGTTAGTTAAGTAAAAGTACAGATATAGGGGGAAAAGTTTGCTCAAGTAAAAGTAAAAGTATCACATAAAAAACTCTACTTTAGTAAAAATATTCAAGTACCTGTTAAAAATGTACTGAAAGAGTAAAGTAAAAGTATTTTGCAGAGCGCTTTAGAATAACTGAAGGATGAAATGTAGTGATTTTGATCCTGAGTTTTAGCGAGTTTTAAGTGATTCAAATGATTTCTTAATTTTTCTAGCTGTTTTGTGTTTTTGTGTGTTTGGTTTGCTCAAAGTTGGGACGTTAACTCAAATGAAAAGTGCTAAAAATAAGTACTTTTTATTTTTCAGTCCAGATCTAAAATATGTGTAGTGGAGCAGAAAATACAACTACATGCTCTCAAATGACGTGAAGTAAAAGTAAAAAGTATCCACTGTAAAATGTACGTAAGTAATGTACAGATACCTAAAAAATTGCACTTAAATGTTGTACTTTTGCTTTTGTACTTCGTTACCTTCCACCCCTGAATACATTGTACTTTACCAGGAAATATTTATCCTCTGATCCAAGGGTTGAGGGTTCGAATCCCATTCTCGAAACAAAAAGAACCCCATCGTTGGTTCAGAAGTCAGATCCACCGGCCCACAGGTTGGCGGCGCGATTCTAACTCCCACAGATGACTGCTGCTGTTGTGTCCTTGGGCAAGACACTTAACCCACCTCACCTATAGTGTGTGCCTACAACGGTGTATGAATTTGTGTGTGCATGGGTGAGTGGCTCCTTGGTATATGAATGCGACCGTGACCGTGACCAGCTTTGTTCTTATTAGCGTTACTGTAAAAAACCTGACACCATTTAGCCAATAAAAAAAAGAACTATTTTCTGTCGTTTATCTTACTTGATGCTGATGGCGTATCTCTCCGCCTCGGCCGTCCTCTCGCGGATCAGGTAGGTGCCGCTGCAGTGGGACTTGAGGAGATTGTCGGCCTGCTGTCTCTCCATGTTCCCAGCAAACCTACGGCAAAAAAAAGGAACAACATCACCTTCAAATAAACTCAAAGTCAATAACACGCTAATGAGGACAAAGCTTCAAACACCGGCGCTGTAATAAATCTTAGCGTAAAGGGTCAAAACAGGCTAGTGCAAACACATTGTCAACAAATTGATGCTAATTATGGAGCGATGTAAAGTGAATAAAAGGTTGCAGCGGCATTGAATAGGAGGTGATTTATGTAATGAATACAATGACATACACTTCTAACATATCTAATATCAGGTACCTTTTGTAGTTTTAAGCCTTTTTACTTGCAAATATTAAATAATACCTGAGTAGATTTAAGCCAAAACACCTGCAGTTGAATAAATGGGAAGGATAAGTCACATAGTGCATCTTTAAAGGTCCTATATTGCACAAAAATGACTCTTGTGAGCTTTAATCTATGTTAGAATATTGTTACCTCCTCACAAACATACCTGGAGTCATGGTTTGTTTCATTCACACATGTTTAAGTAGTTTGTTTACATCGCCAGAGCTAAAAATGCTCTGTTCCACCTTGTGATGTCATGAAGCGATAGTTTTCAAAGACTACATTTACACTGAAACGAATCACAGTACCGGAAACGATCTGCATCCAGACACGTCGTTTCTGTGTTCGCAAGCCTTCCCTATCCACACAGCTTTGAGAATATTTGTTTACGTTTGACAGAAACGAAACTTAAAACTGCATGGCTAATTTGCATAAACTGAGCGCTCAATAAACAGCTGACTATTGTGTGCTGATGCAGTTCATCTTCTGAATTTCATTATACTATTGTATAATGACAATAAAGGCTTTCTATTCTATTCTGTCGGTCTAAAGGACACGACTCAGTGGAATATGAGTGTTCTTTCTGTGACAGAGGGGTGTTCTGCTGATGGGGAGTCTGTTCTGTGCTTCTATCACGTTGGAGATGGTTCATGTTAAACTTTTCAGAGATTATACGTCTGTAGGTCATACGCATAGACCGTATATATCTGAATGGACAAATATTCAAGCCTCTTAGCATTTTGGCGGTGAATTACTTCGTGGCACATAGACCTACGTCAGCGTATCAACGTTTTCAGGCGTCCACACAGTGCTGGATCAGATCTGTACTCAGATGAATTCGTGGGAGCTGGTGGCACCAGATCGTTCCGTCTCTGGAGCCGTTTTCAATCAGATTAATTTGGACAAACACTGCAACCGTGACAAAAACGACTCAAATACATACTAGTGTGGACATGGCCAAAGTTACACTAACTACATTTTACGTTTTGTTTAGCAGAAATCGGAAATTCCAACTCTGAATTTATCTCGTTTGCCTGATGAAGGCCTAGTACCGAAACGTTGCACGGTTTGTCCTAATAAATCTCACTATTTGCAAGTAAGACGGTGTATGTTCTTGGGCTGCTCCCTCTCCTCCAACGCACCCCTCTCAAGTAACTGATGTGTGAAGTTCTCATTCTATAAGATCTGATATTATCCAAATTATTCTAGTGAACGTGTATGGAGTTTTAAAACACAGTGGAGCACTTCCTGTATTACCACATGACATCACAAGGTGGAACTGAGTGCTTTCGGTTTGAGAGAAAAACTCAGCTTTAATATGCAGGGTTTGAGTGTTAAACATGTGTGAATGAAACAAAACACAACTCCAGGTCTGTTTGTGCTGAGGCAACAACACAGATTTGAAAATAGCGTCATACGGGCCCTTTAGAAGATAACTACACAAGGAGCTTATGTTTTCACTCTTGAACACAGCACATCAAAGTTGGTAAGAATATGAAGAAACCAACATCAGGTCCCAACCAGGGTCAAACAATAACAAAACCAGAAAGAAGGGAATGCAACCTACAAGTGAAATGTTTTAAACAGTGAAATAAATGTCCTCTTTCAGAATAAAATAACACTGTCAAAATGGTCGACTTTGATGACTTTTCAAGGTAGTCATGTTTGGTGAATGGAGTTTGCCATTCAAAAGCCAGTCTGTGAAAATAGCTTTGGGATGCCAGCTGAAAAATCTAAAAATAAAAAAATAAACTTTGATAGAACTGACATTTTTTTCAAATATTTTTAATTCTACTGTTATTTTTGTATTTAGGCGTAGCAGCTATTAAATTTCTACATATTTGGACAACAAAAACTTAACATTATGGACCTATATTACACAATTTTTTAATCTATTTTATAATTTTGTTTCATTCGCAACTGTTTAGTGCACAAATCCTGCATATTTATGAGTTCTTCTCTCAAACAGAAAAGACTCTGTGACACCTTGTGATGTCATGTGGTAATACAAGAAGTGCGCCGCTGTGTTTTTAAACTCTATACACCTTCACTAGAATATTTTGGATGATTTCACACTTGAAATTTCCAATCTCTACTAAGCAAAAGCTGCTAACTTGCAAACTACCGCTTCCTGACAGTACAAGGTGGAATAGAGCAGTGGTCCCCAACCTTTTTTGCGCCACGGACCAGTTTTATATCAGACAATATTTCTTGGACTGGAGGGAGTAGGGGTGTGGGGGAACTGCGTATGGGAGGAGGCACAGTGGGCGATCAGCCAGCATGGTGAAGTCCTGGCTGAATCCTGTTTTAGTCCTGGATTTAGAACTGTTTTCGAACTGTTTTAGACCTGGTTTAGTCCTGGTTTAGTGGTGCAGCCACTCGTTCGGCGTACGAGAGGAGGGGACGGTCCGCATGACGTACAAGAGAGGGGGACGGACTGTGAGGTGTACGGGAGGGGGGGACGGTCCACGGTATACCGGACGGCCCACGCGACATATGGGAGGGGAGATCGTCCGCGGGGTGTAGGAATGGGGGGACAGTCCGTGTGGTGTATGGGACGGGGGACAGTCCGCGCGACGTACTTGAGGGGGAATGGTCCACAAGGTGTAGGAAAAGGGGGACGGTCAGGGCAGCATTCGGGAGCGGGGACGTGTGACGTACGGGAGGGAGGACAGTCCGCGCGGGGTGTAAGGAAGGGGCACTGTCCGCATGGGGTACGGGAGGGAGGGACGGTCCCACGTGGCTTACGAGACGGGGGACGATCTGCGCGACGTACAGGAGGGGGGATGGTCCACACAGTGTAAGGGGGGTTCGCACTTTCGCAGCCCGGTACCTAATGACCCATGACCCGGTGGGGGTTGGGGACCCCTGGAATAGAGCATTTTGAGCTTTGGAGATGTAGACAGACTAATAATGTAAGGTCACTCAGTCACGTGTGAATGAAACAAAACACAACTCCAGGTATGTTATTGATGAGGTAACAACATTATAACATGTCTAATGCTCTAAAAGTTTTGTGTAATATAGGACATTTAATCTTATCTCTCCTCAATATTTAGCAAATATACTATACTTTAATTAGTTTGAAGTAACTTACCAGGGATAGCCATAGTAGTCTCCCTCTCTGGGCGATGGTCGACATAGGGTCTGGAACGGCTGGCACAAATACTGAGGGTTAATGACAGTACAGTAAGTAAGCATACTTGGTAGTAAGGGAGTTAGAATGTGCCCTCTGTAGTGTATAAATGTTCTATGATATATGTGTGTTGTAGCCTATAGGAGTGGTGCAGAATGCTGAATATGCAGGCTCAAGTACCTTTGGGTCCAAGCAGGGCTTTACACACGAGCTGGGGAAGAATCCACTCTTTTGTGTTTGCATCAGCCTCCCCTGTAAAACATAGAAGTACGGTGAGATAATTACAACTGTAGATCACATACGGAAGGGCAGCCAGGCATAAAAATGTGTGTGTAGATATAAGAAGAATATTGCAATAACCCCACACTGCAAAAAAGTTTTCATTAAAGAAGACCTACTGTGCTTGTGTCTGCTGTATAGTTATAACCTATGAGAACCATGGATCTGTATGTTATCATTTGGACATTTTAAATCACAATATTAATCTAAAAATAGTTCATAAAAGAAACAAGTCTGCAAACTTCGGGGCCCAATGGGAGCTGACGTTGCCGTAAACGTCATCACAAAAAACAGCTGTGAAGTTGTTGGTGCCTCTGATGGATGGCTGCACATCGCGATAGTAAGCAGCAGATTTTTTATTTTGTTCATTTGACTGCACAATGACTACACAATGCTGTCAAGTGCAACACGTATCACCAAATAAGAAAATAAAACGCAGCGACGGACGTCTAGTGGTAGTGGTGAAAACGGGGGTTGGTCGGCAATATAGAGTCATGAAAATACGTGGTTAAAGATCACTCATACATGCACGAGTCACTTCAAATACAACTTCGAGAGCGTAAATGAGACAACTATAACATGGTTACAAGCGCTAAAAAGTCAAACTTATAGAATATTTGTGAGTAGTTGTTAGTAGTTTAGATTTTTTTAAGCTTTTATATCTAGAGTTTTAGGCTACTGCAGACTGAGACTGCAGGGCTTAATTCTCAATTCAGATTTTATTTTTTTTTGTGAAATCAGATTTTTTGCGAGGTCGTTCACATTTGCAATTAAATGCAACTTGTATTTGATTTCCAGTGTGTACTTTAAATGCCCCAAAAGCACATTGGAGGACACGACGACGTCCCTCGCAGCCAGCCTGCTCAATGTTTACGGAAGTCGCCTAAACGCCAGGCTTGTCTTCCAAAATACAGTCCAGTTTTTGGTAAAATGGACAGGTTACACGTCCATGGCCGCTTAGTTTGTTTGAGACTTTAGCCTCTTTGTATTTGGCTCGCAGGATCTTTATTTTTCATTGACATTGGAGCCAGGACTGCTTGTAGCCTAGTTCCGATAAGACCTCTCCAATTTGGCCTGAATACAGCGATTCCCCCCGAAATATTAATACACTAACAGACTAGACTCCGAGCCTGACATGTAGGTGGGATGAATGTGACCTGGCCTTTCAGACTGATGTCACATGTCAAAAGATCGGATATGTTTCAGTTTTAGGAGCACATATCCAAGTGGCCTGGGTCACATTTGAAAAAATTGGATCTGTGTCATTCAGACTGTCATTAAAAGATCAGATACAGGAACATAGGCCAAAAAATCTGATTTGGGTCACTTCAGGCTGCAGTCTGAACGCAGTCTTAGACATGTTCCAAGGTCTTTCAATTTTAACATGTTTTATAAGTTTCACTGTTGATTTTGACGCCTTGAGTCCCCCCTCCCTTTGCTCTCCATGCTAAGTCACTCTCTCTTCAGAGCACTGTTACCCCACAATCAGTGTGTATCCCACTAATGAAACTTCTGCACATCACATCAGGTTTGTGAAGTTGTTGTGTATTGTTTTGTATCATGCTTTTGTAGTACATTTATGCAGTATCTTCATATGTGTCCTCTATGTAGGTTTAGGTACTTCAGCTGTTTTTGGAATAGAATTTTATTTTTACTGTAAAAGCCCAGACTACATAGAGTTCATTTTAAACAAGCCAAAATAACTCTGTCTCAGTGCAATTATTTCAAGAACAGTGTCTGTCTACTGTGTGGGGAAAAACACATTTTGTTATGTAATCACAATTATAGAAATAGATGTCAGTTATTACAAAGAAATGCTCTATTTTAAGAAATACAACAATGCTGCTTTCTGAATCCAACAGAACCACAGCGCCCTCTACCATTACAATGAATTTGTTTCACTTCTTGCAGCATACATTTTTCATTCAGCATTTTTAATCCCTTTTGCACTATTTTAAAGCGCTCACATTACATATTTTTCTGATTTATGTTATAATGTTGTTTCCTCATCACAAACAGACCTGAAGTTATGTTTTGTTTCATTCATTCATGTTTAACACACAAACCCTGCAGATTTAGAGCCTGTCCAACTGAAAACGTTTTTTTTTTTTTGGAAGAAATGGTGAAGTTTATATTCGTTTTAGCTTTTCGTCCACAAGGAGCTGGTGTTTTGGGTGGGTGAAAACAGTTTTTTTTGAGAACAGGTTCTAGAGTGGAGAAATCTGACCAGCGTTGCATTGTGGTGTGGACAAGCAAACCGCAGCTTCTGGAAAATGATGACGTCACGACCCCGTCATCACCAGGTTCCTCTGCCGTTGCAGAAATGTGACAAGTTTAACCTATGGAGCTGCTCCTGTCACCCAGCAACCGAGACACGCTGGTAGCACTAATGCTGACAACACTCACCGCAAGGTAGGCACACATATCAATAACAAAGATTACACACACGTAATTAAACTGTTGGATTTTGAGACCAAGTTATTCTAATAATTCTCACCCAAATCTTATGCCTAAAAACGAAAACTTACGTTTAACTTTTTCAAAACAAAATGGCTATATTTCTGGGATACATCTAAAATCGGCTAAATTACCTTAAAGTTGAAAAAAATGCTGACGAGATTTGCATTATTAAATGTTATTATCATTGTTTACAGCGCCATATACAGGTGTGGCATATGTATTACATCGTTTTCACTCAGTGCTCCATTGTCGTGTGGACGTGAATATTTACTGATCCGGCACGTGCATTGATGCAAATGTTTTTTTAGCCTGTAAAAAAAAATAAAAAATCCGTGTGGACGTAGTCTTAGACTGAATTCGGTAGCACTTTATAATAACTACACCTTATTTAGACTTAATAAAGCATGAACAAAGGCTTAATTAATAATGAACAAAGACTTAATTAATAATGATTCACGCTTAGTAACTACTTAATTACTACCTTAATTTGCACTTGCACTTAATTTGCCTGTGCTGTAAATAGTTACCCATAATTATTTCATACTTAATTACTCATGGACTAACCATTTGAGCATTTATTAATGATTAGTAAACTATGAGAGAATGATTTACTAATAATACAATGCAATGATAATTCAGGCAGCTGTTATCTGTTAGTTAAGTCTTTTTGAGAGCTTTTCTAAAGTGAAGACAAATTACGCTTTATTAAGCATTTACTAAGCGTGAATCATTATTAATTAAAACTTTGTTCATTATTAATTAAGTCTTTGTTCATGCTTTATTAAGGCTAAGTAAGGTGTAGTTATTATAAAGTGTTACCCTGAGTTCTTCTCTCAAACAGAAAACCCTCTGTTCAGGAAGTGCTCCACTGTATTTTTAACACCTTCACTACAATCATTTGGATAATTTGAGCCCTGGAATTGCAAGTCTCTCCTGACCAAACAGTAAAAAGTAGCTGTTAACTTGAAAACTACCACTTCATGACATCACAAAGTGGAACAGCATTTTGAGCTTTGGAAATACAGACAGACTAATAATGCAGGATTACTCAAACATGTGTGAATGAAACAAAACACAACTCCAGGTCTACTTTTGATGAAATAACAACATTCTAACACGGCTTAAAGCTCAAAAGAGTCAATTTCTCATAATGTAACACCTTTAATATTTACTACGAAATTGAAGAGAAGCCCTAAATCAGGCTTAAAACAATAGCTGCTACCACGAACACTGAACAAGAACACGAACAAGAAGGTAGGACAACACATTCTCCTCTTCCGAAAAAAAGCAACCTAAAAATGCATAATTACTCAACATAACACGAGTGAAAGAGATCAGAATCTGGTATAATTTTCGAAACGCTATTGAAACATACCTTCATTGAAAAGTTCCAGAAAGTGAAATTACCATAATACAGCCTCTTTAACAGTTCTCGTCACAGAAAGTACATTGCAAAGAAAGTACATTGTGTGGACACTATAGAAAACTTCAAAAAGGTCCATTTAGCTGCCAGAGCGAGCCGCCAGATCTCAGAATGTAATATAGGCCCTTCACCTGTTACTTAAGTAGGGTTATTATGGGATGTCGAGGCAAAAAAGACATGCTTTTAGCTCTGTGGTGCAGGGCTGTGTCAGAGCGCCCCGGGCCAGTGGTGTTAAGAGTATTCACAATCCAAAAATGTAATATAAAATCCTCCTGACCAGCTGCTAGTACTGTTGTTATGTACCAGAGCCAAATATAGACCTGGTTATGGAGAAAGAACATGAACGTGCGATATCGAGATGCGCTGATATCGGCTGTATTGACTCAGATCAAGGCAAAATGAGTGTTTTCGATTTCCTGCTTGTGCCGATTAATTTATGGAGATCTATATACATTTACTGGCCCAGAATGTCTCGTAATACAAAACTTGAACTTATAGACCCAGCACCCAGACCATCCTACACAGACTACACAACTTGCACAGGGTCCCACAGCTGCTAGAGGCCGCTCCTCCCGACAGTTTTATCATTCATGTCCAGTGTTGGGGAGTAACAGATTACATGTACCGGAGTTACGTAATCAGAGTACAAATTATGAGTAACTGTATTCAGTTACAGTTACTGTTTCAGTGAGTGGTAATTGGATTACAGTTACTTTGTTGAAATAAATGGATTACACAGCGATATTTTCCTGTTTTCACATTTTGGGCTATATCCCCTTTTTTTTTTTTTTTTTTCGATAATTCCACTCATTGGCGGACACTAAACCAAGTCTAAACCAGGACTAAATCAAGACTAAAACCAGGTCTAAACCAGGTCCAAACCAGGTCTAAACCAGGTCTAAACCAGGTCTAAAACCAGGTCCAAACCAGGCCTAAAACCACGTCTAAAACCAGGTCTAAAACCAAGTCTAAAACCAGGTCTAAACCAGGACTAAACCAGGACTAAACCAGGTCTAAAACCAGGTCTAAAACCAAGTCTAAAACCAGGTCTAAACCAGGACTAAATCAGGACTAAACCAGGTCTAAACCAGGACTAAACCAGGTCTAAAACCAGGTCTAAAACCAGGTCTAAACCGGTCTAAAACAGGATTTAATAGGACTAAATCATGTTGTGGGGACGTGTTTCCTCCTCTTCTATCAATAATATTTTTAATTTGGTTCAGTAAAGTTTGGGTTTTTTATTTTCTTTTAGCAGACAAAACAACTTACGTGAAGATTTCCTCGTCTTTGCTTCTCTACAGCAAACCAAGTAATCCAAAGTATTCAGATTACGTTACTCACTTTAAGTAATTTAATAGATTATGTTACAAACTACATTTTGGGGTCTGTAATCTGTAATCTGTAGGGGAATACAGTTTAAAAGTCACCTTCCCAAAACTGTTCATGTCTGTCTGTCAGTCTGCATGGAGTACAGGCCCTGGTTTGGTCCTTGGTGTAAATATCACTTTCTGATGAGTTAAATGTAGCCTGTTTCTACCCCACGGCACACTGCCCTCGACTCCTCCCTCCTCCCTCGCTCATAAACACATCTCGGCGGCAGCTTGAGGATTGTACAGCACGATGTGAGTTTATTTGCTATATGAGTCTGTTGCTGTGACTTCAGCTCATGTCAAGAATTCAGCCACTAAACGCAGAAGATCCCATTAATAATAAGAGAAGGGTCTTTTGCCTTTTCTGGGCGAGGGAATGACCCGTGAATGGCACATCCACGGTTTTTTTTTTGTTATTCTCAGTACCGTATTTTTCAGACTATAAGTCGCACTTTTTTTCATGTGCGTTTCAGTGTTTCAGTGCGACTTATGTATTAAAATGTTCACACTGACAGCCGCAAGAGGGCGCTCTAGGCTTGTTTACTCCTGTACCACTGTCATTTTGCTCTACTGCGCATGTCAGGTGCCAAAGAAAGAGAAAGAGCCACTGTCCTGTCTGTATCATGTCAGTCGATCGCACCGTTACTTCTGTATGACTGACCATTTTAAATTTAAACAAACATAAAGAAAACTGAAACCATCCTGTCGGGATTCAGAAAGGCCGGAATAATTCTAACTGGAACTGATGCTGAGTCTGAGGACAGCTACACAAAAGAGGAAGTGGTGCTTTGTTTACCTCTGGAGGTCTCGGAGGAGTTGCTCAGAAGTGACATTGAGGATGAAAAAATTCTATGGATTTGTCTACAAACTTTAAAATCAAAATCTTACTTTTACTGATATCTAACTGCTAAGGATTTTAAAGGTGCATTGTGTAACATTTGTGCTGAAGTGTCCATCAAATCTCTTTCTCCATGGAGATGTTCTTGCTTTGTCTGGAATGTTTCACAGTATAACATTAAACCTTCTATCTTCATGCAAGGTAGAGCTGTTTAATGTCATACTATGGAACATTTCAGGCTGAGCACTGACGTATCCGTGGAAATAAGCACGTCACGGACCCCTAAATATTGGCAATAAAGAGTCTATTTTAAAAAAGCGTACAAATTGCGTAACAAATGTTAATTATTATGGGACCAACATGTCCAGCATTTGTCCACTAAAACTTAAAAATCTAAATTTGGACTTTATCTAAAATGCCTTGCTGTAGAATATTCCAGAAAAAGCAATAACGTCTCCATGGCGACGAACATGTGTCAAACTCCATGCAGTAGATAGAATGTTGGCTTTACAAAAAAGCAGAGTCGGTTACAAAACTAGTTAACGTGTGTGGAGTTCTAAGGCTAAAGATTGGATAACAAACTGAGAAATGTTCCAAGAAATCAGCAGGATGTGTTAGAAAAATCACCGTCCCACCGTTATCCCTCCACTTGAAATATAATAAGTATGATTAGACTCGCCTTAAGCTCCAAAATCCTCATTATTAAAGTTACACAGAAATGACTCAAAAGTGGATGATATGAGATCAAAGGGGACAGACTAATGTTTAAGCTTCTAAGAATGTCATAATTTCATTTGTACCTCCATCAGATATCTGGAATTTTTTTTTTCTTTTCATTTAAAGACGGGATATTATGTTAAATTAACTTTTTTGGAGCTTTCTACCTCGTTATAATATTGTTTCTTTGTCAAAAAACATGCCCGGAGAGGTTTTAGATGTCACCTGAGCATGTTTGTGTAATTTAGTGATCTATCCTGGGCCCTATTCCAACTCTTCCTTATGGTTAGCTGTAACATTCTGTCTAAGTCCCAGTGCACAAGGCAATTTCCCATAAATATTCCAAAACAAATCATACAAAACAATTCACTACAACTTCACAAACCTGGTGCAATATCTAGTCATTTTATTAACTGGTGGTTTGTGATAGTTCTCTGAAGGGGGAGTACTTAACATGGAGAGCAAAGAGGCAGGGTGACTCAAAAAGTGATACTGAAACAAATGTGAATATGTTGTTAATATGTTGTTTTTGGTGAATATAGGATTCCAAATAGAAGTAAAATTCCTCTCTTTAAATATGCCAAAGAAATCCTGAGTTTGCTCCAGCGTGTTTTTAAAGCTGACATGATTATGTGAGATTTTAAGTATACTGGTGTTGTCTCATCATTGTCTTACTCAAAGTTGTATTTCGGTTAATTCATGCATGTTTGAGTTATCCTATATTGTCCTGCAATTGAGTCTTGAGTACTCAGACAATCTGTTTTCACCTGCCCCCTATCCCCACTTAGTGTCTCCACTCAGTTTCATTTCTCTCCAGGGACTAGGTCAGGAATCGGAACACACTAGACGGTTTGCAAGAACCCCGGAAATGTGAGTCCGGGCACCAGCCAATCAGCGAAGAGCCATAAATTCTATACATTCTGTGTTGGCAAGGATTCCCGAAATCAAGGATTTAAAGCCGGAACAAAGAGAATGTTTGGTGAATTTTATCAAGGAGAAAAACGTTATTGCTCTTCTTCCTACTGGATTTAGGAAAAGCTTAATATACCAATTAAATTAAAAAAATTTTTAAAAAATACCCGCCTACTGTTGAGCGAATGAATTCTAATGCTGCAAGGTCAGACGGTTTCCAGAAAGTGAAACCGGCTGATGAATCAGACTAATCCTCACTAGGGGTGTGCAAAAATATTGAAATATTGCTATATATCATATCGTTTAATGTGATGATACAGTATCGATATCATGGGCTGCTGTATCGATATATGAAGTAAGAGTATTTTTGGTATATTTTACTAAATAATTTTATTACAGGGTTGCAATTTTGTTGCTTCTTTAGGCTAACGGAATTCATTTATGCAGCACATTAGATCTTTTTATTGTTTTGATAATTAAAACGGTTCATATTCACTTTGCACAAGAAGTGATTTAACAAAGACTTAGTATCACAGCCATGATTTAGCCATTATTTTTATTGGACCGTATTAAATCGATTTGAAATATATCGTATCAAATCAAAAGCTCTCTGTATTAAGATATGTATCGTATCATGGCCTATGTATCGAGGTATGTATCATATCGCCAACTTCTCAATGATACCCAGCTCTAATCCCCACCTACTTTTCTTACATGTCTTACTTTACTAACTTGTAATTTTACTACACTGACAGTAGCACCCATGAGTTTGTAACAGTGAGCACAGTAGATGTTTATAGTGAAGTAAATGTAACATTTAACGGTGCAGTATGTAACTTTTTGGTTGGGGGTTCATCACCTGCTTATTTCTATGGACATGTCATTGCTCTACCTGGAATGTTCCACAGTATGACATTAAACAGCTCTACTTTACATTTAATTATTCAATAACAGCTGGATTTATAGCTCAAAAATACCTAGAAAAACAAGAATTGTGACTGTAGACCTGTAACTTGGTCTGCTTTGGTCTCCATGAAGATAGAAAAGTTTAATGCCATACTGTGAAACATTCCAGACAAAGCAGTAACAATTCCATGGAGAAAAGCATTTGATGGACACCCACCAGAAAAGATACACAGTGCACCTTTAAGTATTATAACTAGTGATGGACAAATGAGACGGAGCTCCGGAGCACGTCTCGTTCTTTCTGAAACAAATTGCTCTGAAGCACTGCCTCGGAGCTCGTCTCGCAGCAGCCGCTCACATGACCAAAGTGTGGAAGTGACGGTCCCTCCCCTGACTGCTTCGCTCTGCGTGTCAATCGCTTCAGTGTATCGAAGTGTTTCATTGGCTCAGCGAATGTTCCGCTCTGCGATTGGTTCAGAGTGTTCAGCGCACTTCCGTTTTTTGATAAGCACTAAACTTCTACAGTATAAAAAATTCACCAATATTTGTTAAAAATGTTGGGTAGTGAGGAGTATTGTGTGACGTTAGTGGTGATTTTGGTGACTTTTGGCATTTGTTTCATTTTCGATGGCATCTACAAGTGGAAAAAAGTGATCCATGGTTTGGGATCACTTTGGTCTAATTCCACATAACAAGGTAAACTATTTTCTTATTTACAGCATGCATATATAAATTGTTCTATTTCTTTTTTAAATGTTCAAAATAGAATATATACTATTTATGACTTCTAATAAAATAGAAAATAGAGTTTTGGGTTCCCAAATCATAGGCTGTGTGCTGGTTTGCAATGGTTTAATTTGTCCACTAGAGGTCAGTGTTTCTCCAAGGCCTCAGACACGACAATATTGTGACTGAGATGTCAATGCTTCACAAGGCTCTATTCGCCCATCACTAATTATAACTATTATTTTTAGTCATTAGGATACTCACAAATAGTGATAATTTAATAATCTCGACATCCATAATCTCAAAACAAGGTCAAACTAGCAAAATCTTATCATATTTTCACTGAAGTAATGTATCCCTCTTTAATCTCATCTGTATTTCACACAGCTCCTCGTCCACTAGAGTGCGCTCTCACCTCCCACCAGGACGTGTCTGGGTCTCCCTTGAGCAGCTCGATGTAGTCCCCGGTCTGGAAGCTCAGGTGGACTTTGCCTGGAGGAGCCGGGGTGCCGTGGTAGTTCCTCACTGCCACCATCTTTGGACCTGCACGAACAGTATTAGTAAGTTTACATCTTCAGCTTCATAACATTAGGATAGATTTTAGGACATATTTTATTTGCCATTTGTAGTTAAAAAAGCGACCAAGAGACACTGTGAAATAAACAAGTTACTAAACATTATAAGTAACTGCAAAAGTCTAAGTCTAAGATGAAATTAGTTTACCATGATTGTACCACAATATAATATTAAAGCTTATCTCTATGAATAAACCAGGACTAAACCAGGACTAAACCAGGTCTAAACCAAGACTCAACTAAGTCTAAACCAGGACTACACAAAGATTAAACCAGAAGTAAACTAAGACATAACTAAATCAGGTCTAAACTAGGATTAAACTAGGACTAAATCAGGATTAAACCAGGACTAAACCAGAATTAAGCCAGAACTAAATCAGAACTAAACCAGAACTAAACCAGGTCTAAAACAGGACTAAAACAGGACTGAACCAGAACTACACCAGAAATAAACCAGGCCTAAACCAGGTCTAAACCAGGTCTAAACCAGGTCTAAACCAGGACTAAACCAGGAGTTCCAGGAGTAAACCATGCCTAAGTCAGGTCTAAATCAGCACTAAACGAGAACTAAACCAGGTCTAAACTAGGACTAAAGCAGGACTAAACTAGGATTAAACCAGAAGTAAATCAAGACTAAACCAGAAATAAATCAGAACTAAACTAGGTCTAAACCAGGAATAAGACAGGATTAAACCAGGACTAAAAGAGGACTAAACCAGAAATAAACCAGAACTAAACCAGGTCTAAACTAGGACTAAACCAGAACTAAATAACTAAACCAGGTCTAAAGTAGGACTAAAGCAGGACTAAACCAGAAGTAAACCAGTACTAAACCAGAACAAATCTCCATGGAGACAAGTACAACAAGGCTGAGTACATGTAAGATCTATGGAGAAGACAGCCCGCTCATTGTAAGAATGTATATTCACCTTTTCAGCAATATTAACCAGAAAATCCTGATTGTCTCCATGTTGATAGTTTAATACCATGCTGTTGAATACCTTCCACCATAAAAGTTCCACATTGTACCTTTAATGGGCCCATATTTTAGCATTATCAGCAATATCAAATGTCTTAAAGCTCACAAGAGTCCATTTTGTGTAATATATGACCTTTAAGGCATCTTGTCAAAACTGGAATTGCCCTGATTTGAATGTTTTTATTTACAGCAGGCAGGATAAAGAGGCTGTGGTGGTGAGCGTCATTTACACACAGTATCCACTAGATGGCAGTATACGACCATGATGTCTCAAGTCTGGAGCTGAGTAGTTTGAGAGTGCAAGGACTGACTCGATTTAACTAAGAGGAAACTGGAATCTGTACCAAAAAGGACTAAACCAGGACTGAATCCACACTAGTCAGGGTCAACGGAAGACTAAAACCAGCACTTCCACAAGACTAAACCAGGTCTAAACCAGGACTAAAACAAGACATGTAGCTGAACTAAAGAGGAGTTACACTGGTTATAAGGACTAAACCAGAACTAAAATAAGACTAAATCAGTACTAAACCAAGAATAAACAAGGATTAAACCAGAACTAAACCTGAACTAAATCATGGCTAAACCAGGACTAAAACAGGACTGAACCAGAACTAAACCAGAAGTAAATCAAGACTAAACCAGAAGTAAACCAAGACTAAATCAGGTCAAACCAGGATTAAACCAGGATCAAACCAGGAGTAAACCAGGTCTAAACCAGGACAAAAGCTGGACTAAACCAGGACTAAATCAGAAGTAAACCAGGACTAAGACAGAACTAAATCAGAACTAAACTAGGTCTAAATCAGGAATAAACCAGGAATAAACTAGGTCTAAACCAGGATTAAAACAGAAGTAAACCAGGACTAAACCAGAACTAAATCAGAACTAAACCAGGTCTTAACCAGGTCTAAACCAGGACTAAAACAGGACTAAACCAGAACTAAACCAGGACTAAACCAGGACTAAACCAGAACTAAACCAGGACTAAACCAGGACTAAACCAGGTCTAAACCAGGTCTAAACCAAGGCCTTAGCGATAGAAATGTTCTTACCTGATGCCATCCCAGGCTCCTGGAAGATAATATAAAAGCACAAATATATGATTATCACACTAAAGAAATCCATTTAATCTTATTGTTTTGATGCAATGAGAATTGAATTAGTTTTACTCACCAAATCATGAGGATCTGCAAGACAAGAACCAAACAAAAACAGCGATGAGAGAAAATGCCTATTATTACGAATCCTACTATTATCATTTATTTTTAGAGCTACAAAACTACAAAAATGGGGTTTCAATATTGCATTCCTAACGACAAATAATATCCTGTACATCCTAAATAAATAAAATGTCACCCTTTTGATCTCAAGAACTTGGATATATACAGAGATGATCTAAAAAACTAAATCATCTGTTTAGGATTACAAAACGGTGACATCATTTTTCATTCATTCATAGAGTCAACATTTCATTTGATTTGACCCTCTGCCTGATCCGTGTCGTGGCGCAAACATAACCTCACACTCACTGATTTTACAGATGGTGATGATCTCCAGACACTCTTTGTGTGCTCCAGTCCCACAGCGAGAGCAGTAGTAGCCCTGGTAGAAAATACCCCTGCAACAGACATACACACACTATTACTTTACAATACTTTACAATACTTTACAATACTTTACAATACAGACAAGTTTTCCAAGTGTGACAGGTACGTGGACATTTTACTAGTATATTTCCACATAATAATAATAATAATAGTTCGGTAACACTTTATAATAACTACACCTTATTTAGCCTTAATAAAGCATGAACAAAGGCTTAATTAATAATGAACAAAGATTTAATTAATAATGATTCACGCTTAGTAACATCTTAATTACTACCTGAATTAGCACTTAACTTGCACTTAATTCACCTGTGCTGTAAATAGTAACTCATAAGTATTTCTTACTTAATTACTCATGAACTAACCATTTGTGTGTGCATTTGTAAATGTATATTTAAGTACAAATTTGAGCATTTATTAATGATTAGTAAGTCATGAGAGAATGATTTACTAGTCATGCATTATTGTTTCTCCTGGAATTTGACCAACCTTAACAAATGCTTAATAAACATAATTAGTCTTCACTTTAGAAAAGCTCTCAGAAAGACTTAACTAACAGATAACAGCTGCCTGCATTATCATTGCATTAATAAATGCTCAAATGTGTACTTAAATATGCATTTGTAAACATGCAAATGGTTAGTTCATGAGTAATTAAGAAGTATTGAGTAACTATTTACATCACAGGTGAATTAAGTGCAAGTTAAGTGCTAAATCAGGTAATAATTAAGTAGTTACTAAGTGTGAATCATTTAGAATTAAGTTTTTGTTCATGCTTTATAAAGGCTAAATAAGGTGTAGTTATTATAAAGTGTTACCAATAGTTCTAATACTTTGGTTTTATATGGCACATTTTGAACACACAAATGTTCACTCTCTGCAGTGACTGTACAGTTGTAGCCACAGCTGCCCTGGGACTGAGTGAAAAAGCCATTCCACACCAACGGCCTCCCTCTATCCCTCTCTACTACAGTCACTTACACACTCACTCTAGTTCGTCGTTCTTGAATGCAATGATGTTCTAATACCACAAGAGGGGGCAAGAGACACTTTTAACTATTGATTACATTTGAAAAGGTGGATTCACAAACACTGAACCTGATCATTTCTGTTATTTACTTGACCTACATGTCATTGTATTACAACAAACATCTGCATTTTATCTGCATATTAAAGTACGTAAGCGTCAGTGTTTTCCACAGACCGAGTGACATTGTGCGGTGCCCCCCTCCCTCGATCAGACTGTAACTGTAAGTACAGTTTGCTCATACGAATTATGTTAGTGAAGACCTGTATTTTAAGTTTCAAGTTTAGAATTACTTACCAAAATTGATGTTAAAGTTTAGCATTTACCTGAACTTCAGATTCTTTGACATTCAAAGTATTACTTACAAAAAATCCAAGTAAATTTGTAGGTTTTTATTTCAAATACTTATATAGCTCAACCAATATCATAATTTGTTCTTGTATTTAACTTTTATTTTGGTAAAACTAAATAAATAGTATAATATAACAATGATATAATAATACAAATAAAATACTATGATTAGATATAAGAAACTACTAAATGGAAAGGGGCGGAATCAATTTGCGGTGCTCGATTTTCATTCTGTGCTGCTGCGCCACAGAGCCACAGAATGAATGTTAAGTGTTTATGTCTGGGAAACACTGAAGTATGACATGTCTGCATCCCCAGGTATGAGGTGGTGATGATCAGATCAGAAATAGATTTTACTTTGAACAATTCTAATGATGATTTATTCTTAAAAAAACACAATCAGAAAGCAGACTGAGCCTCACATGAGTCTCTAATCGTTTGGGTTGCCAGTTTCAATGCGTGAAATTCACTACCTAAACCCCAGTACCTGCAGCCATGCATGCAGTCATGAGTCAGTGCTAGTGCAGCCTCTGCAGCTCAGTGACTGAATTCTGGAGGTTCTGAGCTTTCACATCAGACCTGTCCATGTACTGAGGATGAGAAAAACATGGATGTGTCCTTTATCAGCACGTTAAGACACTGACAACACAGGTTCACTTGTGGTTGTAGTAAAAAAAAAAAAAAAAAACTGTAAGAGCGCAAACTACATACTGTTTCTATAATCTGAAGTTCAGATTCTTATGAAAGTGAAATGAAAAATTGATGTTTTATTTGGTTGGTGGAAAAAGGTGCTGTACGGGATTTTTATTTGTTAACTGGTAATTTTATTTTTTATTTTATTTTATTTATTCAATATTTTACCGGGTAAGTCAGTGGAAGAACTAGACAGGCTGATGACACCTAGTGCCTCCGCTCAATTTCATTTCTCTCCAGCGACTAGGCCAGGAATCAGAATACAATAGACGGCTCACAAAAACCCAGAAGTGCAAGTTCGGTCACCAGCCAATCAGCGAAGAGTCGTATATTCAGTGTTGTGAATGATTCCCAAGATCGTGGATTTAAAGCCGGAACAAAGAGAATGTTTGGTGAATTTTATCAAGGGGAAAGATGTTATTGTCCTTCTTCCTACAGGGTTTGGGAAAAGCTTAATATACCAGTCAGTCCCGTTAGCGGCGCATTACATACGTCACGACCAAATAGCAGCGACTGGTTAAATGATAAAAAGTACCAGCCTACCACAGAGCGAACGAAATCGAAGACTGCGAGGTTAGATGGTTTGTACGAAGTGAAACGAAGTAAAACGAAGTAAAACTGGCTGATGAATCAGGCTAATAATTTGACTTAACTGTATTAAATATTACTGGCCTATAAACTTGTGACGACTGCTCACCCACCTTAACCCAACCCAAATATGAACGATATTTGTTTTTCTTTTTAATAGTTTTAACCAAAGTACTGTATATTTTTAAGGTTTATGTTACACAGTGCATCATTAAATTAGTAATAGAAGTTTTAGGGTTGGGACTGACTGCACCATTACATTGCAGCAAACTGAAAATACCCCAAACATTTTAAGTGCCTGTGAAAACACCCATAAAATCACAGTAACTCTCCGAGACGCAACTTCATTTCAATATTGTGATTATTAAAAACATAAAATCTTCTCTGTAAACGCAGTAAACACGGGGAGGCGTTTATTAGTCTAACTTTATATCAGTGAAAGCTCGGGCTCCTGCCATGTTCAATACTAAGTGGTATAAATCTGCAGGCTCCGCAGGGCCCCGCGGTAATTAGGATCTAACTGAGGAGAAGAGCCCTGGTGCAGAGACGGGAGAATTTAGGTCAGGACAGCCTAGAACAGTGTGGACTGGGACAAGACCAGAGGGACGCTATTGGCAGAGCTGTTTATCAGATCAAAAACACACTGGATCCACAAACTCCACGCACGCTCCGCTCGGCATTATGACCTTAAAGCTACCATCTGTGATTAGACTGGCTGACCCGCCCCTGTCGTATTCTCGCATGTCACCACTAGATGCTGTCTACGTTACTGCTCTCTGACAGCGTGTCGACTTTGGTCTGAAAGGAGAGCCGAGAGCACAGGTGAGACTGTACAAGGGCCAGGTGAGAGGAAGGGGGAGGGGCCAGGGCAGCAGTGGGAGGGGCCATCTGCCATCTAAAGAAATGAATAAACTTACAGATGGTAGTTTTAATGAGGAGATAGATTTTTACTACTTTTTTGTAACTTCAAATTAAAAACAACTGTCTAAATGATGTTGGTGCTTCATATAAGTTCTTCAGTAGTGTGTAACAGTAATATGTATGTATGTATGTATGCATGTATGTATGTATGCATGCATGTATGTATGTATGCATGTATGTTTGCATGTATGTACTGTGAAATTTGTGCAATTGAACATACTATAGAATCAATAAGGGGAGGAGATAGATTAATTAAAAATGACTACAAAGAGAGTCCTACTGAATCTACACTCTCAAGGCTACCCAGTTTCCAGGACTCAAGGTCCGTCCACACGACAAAGTTTTTTGATCAAAACGGAGAAGTTTTTATTCGTTTTGGCTTTAAGTCCACACGGAGCCTGCATTTCAGGTGGGAGAAAACAGAGTTTTTTGAGAACGGGTTCCAAAGTGGAGAAATGTGAGAACATCGGCATCGCAGTGTCATGTGGACGAGCAAACCGCAGCTTTTGGAAAACAATGACGTCATGATCCCGTCATCGCCAGGGATGCCAGGTTTCGCCAGAAACAAAACTTAAAACCGCATGTCTAATTAGCATAAACTAAGGGCTCAAAAAACAGTTATTGTGCGCTGATGTGGTTCAGATTCTGTCAGATTAAAGGACACGACTCAGTGGAATATACGTGTTCTTTCTGTTAAAACTTATGTTTAACTTTTGCAAAACAAAACAGCTATATTTCTGGGATAAAATAGGCTAATGGTGATGAGATCTGCATTATTAATATTATTATCATTGTTTACAGCACCACATACAGGTGTGGCAGATGTATTACATCATTTTCACTCAGTCCTCCGTTGTTGTGTGGACGTGAATATTTACTGATCCGGCACGTGTGTGGACGCAAATTTTTTTCAACCTGCAAAGAAAAAAAATCCAGGAGCGTTGTCGTGTGGACGTAGCCTCAATGGAAAATTTGACTTTTTCCCCTTCCTTTAAAACCACAAGCTTTAAATGCGCAATTTTTTACGCCTTTGTCTCCATGAAACTGTTTACGAATTATATATGTTGTATATGTAGCACTTTTGTATTTTTTGCACTATATACATTTTATACTTTATGTATTTTTCTATGTATTGGTTGTTGCTAATTGTACTATTTATATGGTATCTTGTATTATATTGTATCTTAAATAGATACAAGCCAGCCTACTGTGAACATGTGACTTACGCCTATGACTTTACATCTGCACTGTATCAGCCGGGTCGAGTTTGCCTTAAGATGAAGGCCGAAGGGCTGAAAGGCGTTGGCATAATTTTAATTTTATCTGCCATGTGCTATTAAAGCTTTTTATTATTTTGTACTTTGGTCCCTACACTGAAGAGCACCAAAAGGCCAATTCTGCACAGTCTCTATATATCCAAGTAGCTCCCTAAAGTTTTATATGTACTATATGTATGCATGTATTGTATGTATGTATTTTTATATTGTATGCATCAATGCACCAATACTGTACTGGTCAATTTGATTAGATTTTTTTTCCTTACAAATAAATAAATAAATAAAAATTGCAACTTCATTTCAAATATTAACTCAACGTATGTTTATTAATATCCAAACATATTTTTAGTTTGTTATTTGTTATTAAATAGCGCCCGCTTCATGAACAAATGCATTTTCTTTTTTTTTTTTTATTTCATTTGATATTAGAGACATTACAAACAGTAGAAGACATTTGACATTTTGATTTGACGGGATAGGGACGGCATACAAGGTTTTAAGAGGTTACGAGACAATAAGAACGGCCTCTGTTCTTATATGGAAGGGCAAGTGTGTGTGTGTGTGTGTGTGTGTGTGTGTGTGTGTGTGTGTGTGTGTGTATGTGTGTGTGTATGAGTAGTTAAGTAATAAAACAGAAAAGGTGTAATATAAGAGGAAAAAATGATATTGTCTTTTTCAGATGTATTTTCTGTCTAAATAAATAAATAAATAAAAAAGCCTGTCAAGTTAACAATTCATCAGTTTCATTATCTTGGACACCCCATATTACATTCATGCAAAAAACATGACCATAAATGCAATTAACAGCTTTAATTCCCCAGTGTACTCCATTACTCCACACGTTTCAAATGGCATCACAATATAGGCCATGAATATTTAATACCGATGGGCACAGTTTAAAATAATATTGTAAAAATTCAGATTCTTGTTATAACACAGTGAGTTCCTGGGTCAACATTTGGGATTTCTGAATTTACCTTTTGGATATTTTACGACAAAGCATAACGTAATCAATAGGAAAAAAAAACGTCTCTTGCCTCCATCTGAGATTATAACAACATTGCATTCTCGAACCTGTAATCCACTGGTTAGAGGGTCCGTGTCCTACCTGAGCAGCATCTTGCAGGCTCGGCAGTTGGTGTTCTTATCAAACGTGTGCATCTGGAAATTGTGCTGGTTGGCTGTGGCTCTCTCCGGTTTGATATTTGACCTGGAAAACACAATCAAATCACCATGAGAGAAATCGAAAGCGAATAAAATATTAACCGTTGTGATTTGTAACGTGAAACCGTAATGGAAGATCTGCAGTCGGGTCCAGCGTCTAATCTCCGTCTGCACAACTCCCGCATTACCGTTTTTGTCCTCAGGGGGAGCCTCATTTAGATCATATATTTTTAATGCAGAGTAATGTTCGGTATATGGATGGAACGCATTGAGTTGTAGGGAGCGATGGGTTTTAAAAGTACATCATGTCACTTTTCTGCTGGATGATGGTGGTGACTAAACCAGGTCTGAACCAGGTTTAAACCAAGACTAAACCAAGACTAAAACCAGGTCTAAACCAGTTCTAAACTAGGTCTAAACCAAGACTAAACCAGGACTAAACCAGGTCTGAACCAGGTTTAAACCAAGACTAAACCAAGACTAAAACGGTCTAAAAACCAGGTCTAAACCAGGTCTAAACCAGGACTAAACCAGGTCTAAACCAGGACTAACCAGGTTTAAACCAAGACTAAACCAGGTTTAAACAAACCTAAAAAGACTAAACCAGGTAAACTAAACCAGGTCTAAACCAGGTCTAAACCAGGTCTAAACCAGGACTAAACCACTAAACAGGTCTAAACCAGGTTTAAACCAAGGACTAAACCAAGACTAAAACCAGGGTCTAAACTGGGTCTAAACCAAGACTAAACAAAACCAGGACTAAACCAGGTCTAAAGGTCTAAACCAGGTAAACCAAGACTAAACCAGGTCTAAAACCAGTTCTAAACTAAAGTCTAAACCAAGACTAAACCAGGACTAAACCAGGTCTGAACCAGGTCCAAACCAGGTCTAAACCAGGACTAAACCAGGTCTAAACCAGGTAAAACCAAAACTAAACCAAGACTAAACCAGGTCTAAACCAGGTAAACCAGGTCTAAACCAGGTCTAAACCAGGTAAACCAGGAAAAACCAGGACTAAACCAGGACTAAAACCAGGTAAACCAGGTCTAAACCAAGGACTAAACCAGGACTAAAACTAAACCAGGACCAGGACTAAAACCAGGACTAAAACCAGGTCTAAACCAGGTCTAAACCAGGACTAAACCAGGACTAAAACCAGGTCTAAACCAGGTCTAAAACAGGACTTAACTGGACTAAATCATGCTGCATGGACTGTGTTTCCTCCTCTTCTATCAATAATATTTTTTTACTTGGTTAAGTAAAGATTCTGCTTTTTTATTTTCTTTTATCAGACAAAACATCTTATGTTCAGATTTCCTCGTCTTTGCTTCTCTACAGCAAATCAAGTAATCCAAAGTATTCAGATTACATTACTCACTTTAAGTAATTTAATGGATTACGTTACAAACTACATTTTGGTGTATGTAATCTGTAATCTGTAGGGGAATACATTTTAAAAGTAACCTTCCCAACACTGGTGATATTAATGCTTTGCCCGGAATAATCCACAGTATGGTATTAAATATGTCTTTCTCCACGGACACAATCAGGTAATGGTTCACGTTATTTTGGCAATAAAAATAAGTGAATAAAAGCGAGACAGGTCAATTTACGGCCAAACTGTGAAAGAGTCCGGGCAAATTGATGACATCTCCATGGAAACAAGCAGGTGGCAAATGCTCCCAAAGACACATAGTGCAACTTTAAGGTCCTGTATTAGACAAAAGTGACTCTTGTGCAGCTTTAAATCATGTTGGAATGTTGTTACCTCATCAAAAACATACCTGGAGTTGTGTTTTGTTTGATTTACACACAGTGTTGGGAAGGTTACTTTTAAAATGTGTTCCCCTACAGATTACATAGCCCAAAATGTAGTTTGTAATGTAATCCATTAAATTACTTAAAGTGAGTAACGTAATCTGAATACTTTGGATTACTTGATTTATTGTAGAGAAGCAAAAACTAGGATATCGTAATCTAAGATGTTTTGTCTGCTAAAAGACAATAAAAAGCCCAGACTTTACTTAACCGTATTAAAAATATTATTGATAGAAAAGGAGGAGACACGTCCAAGCAGCATGATTTAGTCCTGTTATATCCTGTTTTAGTCCTGTTTTAGACCTGTTTTAGTCCTGTTTTATTCAGGGTTTGGTCCAGGTTTAGTCCTTGTTTAGTCAGTGTTTAGTCTGGTTTTAGTCCTGGTTTTAGACATCTTTTAGACCTGGTTTTAGATCTAGTTTAGCTCTAGTTTAGATCTGGTTTTAGTCTTAGTTTAGATCTAGTTTAGACCTGGTTTTAGTCCTGGTTTAGTCCTGGTTTATTCCGGGTTTATTCCGGGTTTGGTCCAGGTTTAGTCCGTGTTTAGTCTGGTTTTAGTCCTGGTTTTAGACCTGTTTTAGATCTAGTTTAGCTCTAATTTAGATCTGGTTTTAGTCCTGGTTTAGACCTGGTTTAGACCTAGTTAGATATAGCCCAAAATATGAAAATACTCCCGTGTAATCCATTTATTTGAACAAAGTAACTCTAATCCAATTACCACTCACTGAAAGAGTAACTGTAACCGAATACAGTTACTCATAATTTGTACTCTGATTATGTCACGCCGGTATATGTAATCCGTTACTCCCCAACACTGTTTAATAGCAGGTTACTCAAACATGTGTAGTCTGTTTAAACCAGGGGTCTCCAACCTGTAGCTCTCCACCCCATTCCAAGTAGCTCACCAAGGGATTTCTGAAATATATGTACTGTGCTTAATAACTACAATCTGATTTATTTCCTCTGTAAAAGTGTCATTTTGATTCCAAACTTGTGCACTAATGAATGGATAATGGTTTATGTTTAATAGGCATCAGTAGTGTGCGGTAACTTTGATGGGTTGTCAAATAGACATCAATATTTAGTCAATAACAATTCAATAACGCCACCTTTTATGCAAACTACATTGCAAATTAGTATATTTATTTTTACTCACATTGATTGCATGTATACTGAGCCATTTTCGCATCAAATTAGAGAGACCTAGACCATATAGTTTATTAATATTTGTATATACTGAACTGGATTTGACACCTTTTTTATAAAGGAATGGTACTCTCCAAACTTTAGCTCCAAAAGGACTCAATGATGATTTTAATCTTAGCATTTTTTGTAGGCATTTGTTACATCATGAGGTCTCTCACTTTGGGTGGGCTGTATATGAACTATATTTTAAGATCCATTGTATATATATAGATGTGTATATGGCACGACAGCATTATTTTATAGCTGGGTGAATGTATACTGTGTCTATATGTGTCCAGACATTCTTCTTTTTGTTCTATTATTATTCAGTGATTTTTCTACTAATGATTAATATTTTGTTATTATTATCATTACACTGTATGTTGATTGTGTTTTGTTTTTTGGTTTTTTTAATTATGGGGTTTTGAGTGCACTGATCTCTGAGCTCTCATTCGGTTTGCCTGACGAAGGCCTAGTGCCAAAACATTGCACAGTTTTTCCTAATAAATCTTACAATTTGCAAGTAAGACGGTGTGCGGGATTTTTCTCTATCTTCTCGGGCTCCACCCTCTTTATACAAATGGTTATTTATGGGCGATTTGTTTCTACACCTACACCTTGTTTATGCTGCTAAGCCTTCAGTACTATTGTTATCTATGTAATATGCATCAAGAATGAAAACAGGATTATTTGGATATAATTTGAAACAATTTAATTATATTTTGACATGTGACAATTTTAGATTTTTTTGAGCAACCACTGCTTGCCTTGATTGCCCTGACCGCACGCCCCTGATACGCATCTAACTGTGCTCCGTCTAAAGCTTGCCATAGCTCTTTTACGTTTTCAGTTTCTTGCAACTGCTAAAATGAGTAGCTCTCTGGCATTTTCGTTACATGAAGGTAACTCACCAGAGGAAAAAGGTTGGAGACTCCTGGTTTAACCCAAACACAACTCCAGGTGTGTTTGTGATGAGGAAACAACATTGTAACAGATCGGTAAATAGCTTCATGTGGACCAAATAGCGCAGGTCTGATACATTTTGTTCTTTGGTGCACTTGGGGAAGACTTGTGCAATAATCAATATTAGAGCAGCACAAGCACCCTGGGCCTTGCTCTTCAGTAATCTGATTAAAGACAATGGAAAAGTCAACACAGCGATAATTTATAGGTCTTTATTTAAGCAGAGAGTCCCTCTGAGATCTGGACTCATTTTCAGGGGAGTCCAGAGGGGACGCTCTGTTGTACTGGATTTAAGTGGAAACTTACACACACAGGAAGAACATACAAAACTCCATACACACACAGGAAGAACATACAAACTATATACAGACATGGGGAGAACATGCACACTCCACAGAGACACAGAGAGAACATACAAACTCCACACAGACACAGGGAGAACATACAAACCCTATACAGACATGGGGAAAACATACAAATTTCACACAGGCATGGGGAGAACATGCAAACTCTACACAGACATAGAGAGAACATACAAACTCCACACCTACGTTGGGAGAATATGCAATCTCTACACAGACATATGGAGAACATTCAAACTCCACATAAACATGAGGAGAACATGCAAACTCCACATAAACACAGGCAGAACATGCAAATTCTACACAGACATGAGAACATGCAAACTCCACACAGACATGGAGAGAACATGCAAACTCTACACAGGCACAGGAAGAACATACAAACTCCACACAGGCATGAGGAGAACATGCAAACTCCACACAAACATGAGGAGAACATGAAAACTCCACATAAACACAGGCAGAACATGCAAACTCCACACAAACATGAGGAGAACATGAAAACTCCACATAAACACAGGCAGAACATGCAAACTTTACACAGACATGAGGAGAACATACAAACTCCACAAAGACATGAGTAGAACATGCAAACTCCACAGAGATATGGGGAGACTACGCAAATTCCACAAAGACATGAGAACATGCAAACTCCACACAGACATGAAGAGAACATGCAAACTCCACACAGACATGAGGAGAGCATGCAAACTCCACAGAGACATAGGGAGAACATGCAAACTCCACACAGACATGCAGAGAAAATACAAACTCTACACAGACATGAGGAGACTATGCAAATTCCACAGAGACATGACAACATAATAACTCCAGAGCTTAGAGCAAAGGATTTTCTTTTCTGTTTCTTGAGCAAGTTTTGGTTGAGTCGTTTTAGGTTAATGTACTGAGAAACAGTAAATGCATTTGACCCATCCTTGAAACTTTTGGGTCAATTGTGGAGAAACTGTCACGGACTATTACTTGCATTTATGATCAATGCTGATTATGTTTCTGTTTTAGCTTTACTCTTGTATAAGCAATCAAAACATGTCACGTTGTTATTGCAGTACCAAAAGTCACCAGTAGAGACTTCCTTGCACCACATCCCAACATAAACACATTTTCTTGTATCCGTGGCTTCTTCTCCCTCAGGGCTGGACACAACAGAGCTCTGTGGATAGTTAACCTACATACACTACGCTCATCTTTGTTTCTCCATCCACCCACGAGTAATGGAAACATGAGAAGATGACCGCTCGGAGATACCGCTGAATATTCTATAGCACAATTGTATTCAGGTTTTAGGCTTGTACTCACATGGCCATCTCAAACTGCTCCATCCACTTCCTCTTGGTCTCCTCGGTTTTGCAGAAGAACTGAAAGCCCTGTTTGCCCTGCAGGTGGATCAGGTAGAATCCGTAGGACCACTGTACAAGAGAAGAACGTAAGAACACACATATGCGTAATCGTAGTTTAGTTTGACTAGAATTGAGAATTGAGAATTGAATTTGGTTGTACTTTTAACAAACTTCTACAATAGTATCCAGCAAAAATGTGGATATCTTGAGGGTTGGAGGTCCATCACTTGCTTGTTTCTATGGATATGTCATTGCTATGTCTGGAATGTTCCAAAGTATGACTTTAAACACCTCTACTTTACATTTATTCAATTACAGGTGGTTTTACTGCTCAGAAACATCTGGAAAAACAGGTATTCGGGCTGTTTGTGGTCACCTCTCCACAGATCCAACCTGTAACTGGTCTGTGATAGAAAGATTTATTGCCATACTGTGAAATAGGGATGGGCATTCGATGAAATTTTCTTAACTGATCGTCGAGAGAATTAACGATCCATTATCGATTAATCATTAACATTTTTATATTAAAATGATCATCATTATTATTACTATCTGCACTACTAATCTGCATAAATAAATTCAACTTTACGACAAATAAACCGGAACCAGTCTAGAGCCACATCAGCCCATTTATTATAATGTGTTTAATTCAGTTTTGCGCAACTGTCATAGAAATGAAACTTAAAACCGCATCGCTAATTTGCATAAACTAAGCGAAGATAAAACTACAGCTCTTGTGTCGCTGATGCGGTCAACTTCTGTCGGATTAAAAGACATGACTCAGTAGAATACAGGTTAGTGTGACCAGATTTGCGTTTGTCAAAACCAGGACACCGTACGGGGGGAGGGAGGTGGGGACTTGTCATTGACATTGCGCTACTCTCACCTGGCAAAACTTTTGTACACTGTGCACATGGCCTCACACTTGTCCCGACCAGAAAGGAAAGTGTGAAATTTGTTGTACAAGTCATCGTTAAATACGCATATGCACTTCGGTACGTTGCAGGCGGACTGACTGTTTGTGTTTGCTCGTTCCTTCTGAGTGCAGAGAACTACTTGTACGGACCCCTGTTTGGTCACGCTACGCACAGCAACCTGCATTCGGTTTGTCGATTAAAATTTACGTAATCGATGAAATTCTTAATGATCAATTATCGATTAATCGACTAATCATGCCCATCCCTACTGTGAAAGAATCCAGATAAACCAATGAAACGTCCATGGAAAAAAAGCATTTGATGGATCCTCCACCTGAAAAGTTACACCATGAACCTTTAAAGAGCCAACGTGGAAGGCTTAAACAACGAGGAGAAGTTTTAACGCACCGACGGAGAGTCTACCGAACACTCCGTCGCGTGCGTTAAAACAGGCCTCTAACATTTCCAGTAGTTGGTGACATCACAAAAGAATGCTCCGATTTCAGCCAGACATTTCTGATCACAAACGCGTGGCTGCAGGGGCGGAGTTTGAAGTGTGGATACCCGTTAGACCAATCACACTGTTCCTTATACCTCCAGACCCCGCCCATCCTCCACCTCCACTCTTCACTTTAGTCCTCTAGTAGTGCCCAGTTTTACAACTCTACTGTATTTAAAATGTGGTTGTGGGCAGATTTAAGCTGTTTAGTCCGATAATCAAAGCATCTTAGGTTATCTACAGTTTGTTTAAAGAGCCAATATTGTGCTATTTTCTGATCTATGTTAAAATGTTGTTTTCTTGACAAAAACAGACCTAAAGTTTTGTTTTCTTTCATTCACACATTTTTAACACACAAATCTTCCATATTTTCTTTCTTGAGTTCTTCTCTCAAACAGAAAACAATTCCATCTTGTGATGCCATGTGGTGATACAGGAAGTGCTCCACTGTGTTTTTAAACTCCATCAGTTTTTCTTGTTGTACAGTGGGTGAGCTCACTTTGGGACCTGGCAACCATTTTGTATACTGTGGTCCAAAGCAAGAAAAATTTTCTGACAAAGGCTTTTTGATGAAACATAACAATAAATATTTTTTTTAAAAAGCTTTAGAACATTGGCCATCTAAGAGTGAGTGTGATTTAACTTGCTGTTCCTTGCATTTGCACTTCTACAAGAACTTTGGTGTGCGTTTTCTGTTTCATTTGAAGCTATCGTTTCATGACATCACAAGGTGGAACGGACCATTTGGAGCATTGGAGATGTAGACATACTAATAACACAGGATTACTCAAACATGTGAATGAAGCAAAACTCAACTCCAGGTCTGTTTTTGATGAGGTAACTACATTCTAACACGGCTTAAAGCTCACAAGTGTCAATTTCACGTAATACTTCACCAAAGATATTAAACCTCACATCTAGACACCTTCACCACCAATCACATGCACGACTCATTCCACACACCCACACAGAAGCCAATCCCACTGCACCACTATGAGAAAATGGTCCAAATAAAGAGTTGACTGGATCTTACCATTTTTCCACTCGACTGGTTTGGCATGCAAAAAGAAAGACACCAGAGGACAGCCGGTTACACATGCAGCATGGGCCCCGACATGCACAATCAGAACACAGAGCCATGGGACGAGTCAGCAGCCCCAAAAGGACTTCAGGACAATCATATGGACGTCCAAGCATGAGTGGACACAATGCGCTTTTACATATTTATGATCCGGTGATTTCGTAAGAACGGATGCGTATTGTTAGCCTCATGTAAGAATTGTAGATTTTTTTTTCTTTCTACAGCTGCCCTTGCTGTAGGTTCAGGGAGTAAAGTGTCTTGCCAAGGGATACGAACATAGTGTGCATGAGTGGCAATAGAACCAGGTATCTTTCAGCTCAAAAGTCAATAATTAAAAACGCTATGTCAAATCTTTGAAGATACCTCAACTGAAACCAAAAAATGTGGATTTTTCTGAGAATGGAACTCAACAGTAACACTTCAAGAGTACTGGAAAAGTGAAAAAAAAAAAAAAAAAACAGAAATACGGCGTAGACTTTTTCAGCTATGTGGCAACTTTAGGCTTTGTTTTTGGTACTAAAATTAACTGTGCCATGGATACTAGTTACCACATGGCTAAATAAAAGCTGATTAACTCCCACAGATGAATACTGTATTTGTGTCCTTGGGCAAGACACTTAACCTACCTCGCCCCCAGTGTCTGCATACACTGGTGTATGAATATGTGTGTGAATGGGTGAGTATTGCAAAGCGGTTTGAGTGCCTTGAAGGTGGAAAAGCGCTGTATAAAAATGCGTCCAAAATTTGACCATTTAGTTAGCTCATGACTGATTGATGATTATCGTCTGACTTGCATTTAAAGGAACAGTCTGGAAATTTAGACATAGAGCCTCATGTCCTAGTGAGCCAGAATGTTGGAGATGTGTGGAGACACTTTTTTAAATATTCCATCCAGTCCTTGTATTTGCAGAGGTCACTGGTGCTAGGCTAGCGCATGTCAATGGCCATAGTTAGCCTGATGCTAAAAACAGTCTTACCCACTCCATAAAACACCCAAAACAAATCTATTATTACACCAGACTGTCCATGTAAATGTCTGTGTCAATAGAATAATTTTAGAAGTAAAACCAACCTTGCATTTAAAGGATTTATGTCTGAGTAGCAGCAGCAAGTTGTACTTTCTGTAAAGGAAAGAAAATTCTGCTGCTGCTGAGAAAACAGTCCCTCAACATGAGACGATTCATGAGATGCAAGGTTAATTTTATTTCAAACATTATTCTATCAACACAGACATTTACATCAACAGTCTGACATAATAATAGTTTTGCTTCAGGTGTTTTATGGAGTGGGTCAGACTGTTTTTAGTGGCAGGATAACTATGGCCATTGACATGCACTAGCCTAGCACCAGCGACCTCTGCAAATACAAGGACTGGATGGAATATTTAAAACAGTGTCTCCACACGTCTCCAACACTCTGGCTCACTAGGAAATGAGGTCCTATGTCCAAAATTTCTGACTGTCCCTTTAAACTCTTCATCATTATTTTAGAATTTTTTGGAAAAAGTGGATGGAGAGGGCTTCAAATTGGTTCGAACTTTTGAGGTACATTTACATTTATATTTCAATGTTTTGAACAGTCGCGCAATATCACATTGAAACTGGCCATGTCATTTTCTTGCGTGTATTAAGGAATACATGAACGCAAAGATTTATTCCATTCAGAAAAATAATTTGTCAAAATAAAACTACAAATGAAATAAAAAATGGCTTGCTATGAGGCTAACAATACGCCACATACTCACAGTTTTACACAGTGATCCGGTCGGAGTACGTGTTACGGAAGAAGAAAGCCTGTTCTTTCTTACCTTCTTCATGTCGCGATTGTTCATTGGATCGTCGGACATTTTGTACGACTGCAGCTCGATGATTTCTTTGAGTTCGTAGCTGTAGCCTTTCCGTTTGCACACGATCACCACTTTGTCGAACAGGAAAATATACCTACAAAGACAAAAACAGTATCATATTTTACTAATGTGATTACTAGGATGTTAATATCGTAGAAGTTGTAAAAAGTGTAACTGACCGGTCTTGCTTGGTCCGGTTGACGATGGAACAGACTTTGAGCTCTCCGTCGATCTTTGGGCGACCGTACTCCTCCAGTTTCACCTGCTGCTTAGGACAGACACAGAACGTATTCTAAAAAATGGCGAAATCCGCAAAGAAATCTGCTTTAGTTTTACAATTATTATATCTGTTTTAAGGCCGTAAAACCCCTCATCACCCACTTTATACACTTTTCTCAGACAGGACAGTTACAACCCTTTTTGCATCCTTCTTAAAACTTATTGCTGCTGTCGTCCTTATGTTATTTTCCTCCTTCTTTAAGTAACAAACCGAAGATTAATTTATTCCGTAATGCACTACAGCTGTGTAACTTCTACCTTCCTTCAGCATGTCCAGAAGAACATTTTCTGTGATGGTTTGCATCTTCCTCTGCCTTTTGTGTGCGACCACAGGAGCCTTTGTCAATGCAGAACATTTCGTCGACATTGTGCGTTTTGTCGGGGTGAAAACTTGCAAACATACAGCTCTTCAGAATCACACTGCTAGCGCTCGAACCTTTATGTATACTGAACACATTCTGTACTGTACAGGAGACATGGCACGGAGGAGTTTGATTGACAATGGTCTACAGCCAATCAGGACGCAGGGGGAAGAACACAATGCGCGTAAAAGCATGCAAAATTGCACTAAAAAGGTGAACCGCCTTATAGTGAGGGACGATTGTACTTTAATGATCAAACAAGAAGTAAAGCAATGAACTTTTTGCTCACTGAAAGATGTAGCAATGACCAAGTTTATAAACAAGCTCTCCTGGAAGTTCCATTTGGCTGCTTGTCGCAAAAAAATTGTTCCAATAAAGAGCAAGAGAACAGCAAGCAAACTACTTTTTCTTTTTCATTCTAGCAGAACGGTTCAGTGCCAACCTCAATAGATATTGTTGCACCATCAAGTTTGTTCAATATTTAATTTGTTTTATATTTACAAGCTGCCCTATTGATCAAAATTGAAAATAAGTTCACCAACTTCAAAATTGTAGAACATAAGTCTCCTTTTCATTACAACATTTTCATCTTATGATTCTACGTGTAGTGAGCTGTAATTTCTTATAAAAACATGATTAGTACAAGTACAACTCTGAGACAATGATTTTAACATGGTTCAAAGATCCTAAGCTCACATCAGTTTGTAGGATATGAAAAAAAGATCTGAAACTGCCTATTGTTGTAAAGAAATTTTCCTGTCTTGAAATCACTTTGAAGCTCTATCTTTTGACCACTTGTCTAACTTTATTAGTGAAATACAAAGAGAAAGTTAAAGAATGCTAGGCTGTTTCTCCATCTTATCATACAACTTCAACTACTTTTTCTTTCCAAGTGAGAAGAACCTAACACAGAGGTACTTGATTTTCAAACCACAAAAGAAGAATGTATAAATCCACACCTTGTTCCAAGTTCCCAGTTGGCCTATTACAAGTATGTATATGGTTGAATGTATTTGTCCACTAGGAGAGCTTTAGAACAGATGGAGAAGTGAAGCAGAGTGGACCACCAGCTTTGCTCTCAAGGCATGACATAGTGACTAATATGGCTCTTTCGTGTGTGGTATCTTTTATAATCTGAAGACGACAATATGCATCATCTGACTTCTGCCACAACGATCTTGCGAAATATACTTTTTTTCACGTTATTCTGGAAGTTACTGTGGACGCCGCCATTCTTTTTCGGGTGGTATTATTTTGTATGGGGCTGCCAATTTTGGTACCATTTAGTGCCTCCGCTCATTTCTCTCTCCAGTGACAGGAATCAGAATACACTAGACAGTTTGCAAGAACCCCGTAAGTTGTAGACTACACACCAGCCAATCAGTGAAGAACTGTGAAGCCATGACTGGGTCCATTTTTGTGGTACACCACAACAGTAAACAAAGTGGTTGAGATGGATGTAGACAAAGTCATACATTCTGTGTTGGCAAAGATTCCCGAGATCGAGGATTTAAAGCCGGGACAAAGAGAATGTTTGGTGAATTTTTTCATGGGGAAAGACGTTTTTGCCTTTCTTTCGGAATTTGGGAAAAGATTAATATACCAGTTAGTGCCATTAGTGGTACATTACAAACGTCATGACCAAATAGCAGCAATTGGTTTAAATCAGGGGTGTCCAAACTTTTTTCATGAAGGGCCACATATCTAAACACAGACGAAGCAGAGGGCCGATCGAGGGCTGTAGACTGGAGCTCAATACAGTGAATAATTGAAATATGTGCATGTTTAACACGTTAGAATGAACCATCAGTCTTTATTCATGCTAAGATCCTTAAAACCACACACTAAATATGAAATATTAGCTTTATCCAGGTAGATTCTCAAAAAATTTGCAGTAAAAAAATATTTTTTAATTGATGCTAGGTAATTGGGCCAATTCACCTGGAAATCTGAGGGCTAAGAAAAATTTGTCTGAGGGCCGCATTTGGCCCCCGGGCCATAGTTTGGACATGCCTGGTTTAAATAAAGAAGTACCTGCCTACTGTCATGCGAACAAATCCTAATGCTGCGAGGTCAAACGGTTTCCACGAAATGAAACTGGCTGATGAATCAGGCTAAAACTTTACAGCTAATAAATTCAATTCAGACCATGAAGCCATTTTAAAGCCTCCAAAGAATCAGTGCAGTGTGGCTTGTTAGTGCACAGGAACACTGAACAATTTACACAAATGAACCGACTTTATGTCATATTCAAGATGCAAAACTTTTCCAGAATTCTCCATTGACATGAACAGGTTTAGGAGCATTTAGAGACAAAAGTAGGCAGGGTTGAAAAAGGTCAATAGGGCAAATACAAGTTGTCATAATTTATTAGATCAATGTTGGGAATTTCAGCTTTAACACTCATCATCAAAAGCACCTATACAAATCTTTCATACCACATACATCCACCGAACCACAATGCTACACTTTTTCTTATCGCACGTCCATTCTTGTGACTAATATCACGGCAACGGTTGGCACGTTCTGCTTCCACTCTGTCCTAAACGTACCCAAACACCTGACACCGTTGTCGTCTACGGGCTTTCTAATGGGCCGGATTACAATGACAGAGGTTTTCCAATGTCTGTATGCACTGATAGAATGTGTGGAATACAGATGAGTGCGTTTGGCAGCTGACAGCCCCAGAACTAATGAAGGACCATCGCAGGCAGAGAAATAAAGAGCCAGGACTTAACCATGTGGAGCACGTCCAGAGGAGCTGTGAGGTGTCATGGTTCCAATGACTCCTCCATTACTCACCGCGAGATGCCTGGCAGGGCTTTGTCTTCAATAAACCGCAATTTTTTATTTTCGTTTTTTTTTTATTATTGGGACAGATAATAAGTCTTTACCAGAGCTATCGGTCACGTTTATGGCTTCTAAGGGTTTGCGAGGAGGGAGTAAAGATGCTGGAGTTATTCTTCGAGTGTCGTCAAGTGACAAAAGAGGCAAGTTTAGAATTTCATTGCATGTTTACAGACGTGTGATTTATACAGGGCGTGGTTGGGTAGGCTCATATCTGTTGAAGATGAATGCTACAATATCTCGCAAATGATACGCACCGCAATCGTAACTAATCAGACTTGTAAACGCCAAAATCATTACAGACTTATTATGTGTGTTCAATAGCTCTGAACACAGCCTGGTGCTAATACAAACGTTATATCCTGTTGGTTTTAATGAGGCAGCAAAAATTTTAATGACATATTTTGCATTTTGACGCCAAGGAAACAGCATACCAATGATTCAAAGTATAGTTCGAAAGTATAATTGCACTGTCAAGCCTGCAGTTTTTTAATGACATGGCTGTTTTTGATGCTAATAGCTATGGCTTCCCTAAGAGCCATCTCAGATTTGGCTGAAAAAAAATTCTAAAAAAAGTCTAAAATTATCCAAATGAAAGAATCTCAATCTCAATCTTCCGTTGAAATTTTGGGGCCATGCTCACTTTTTCTGAAGCCTTAATTTATAAGCATGTTTGAGAGACCGCAACTTCATAAAAAAAAAGAGAGCTAGGAAGCTGAACATTTGTATTATTGTGGATTCTTGGTCATAGATTCTGAATCTGTTGTCAAATATTGGTTATCTTTATAAAGGGGGACGCTGTGGGCCCCCACAATCTCAAATTTGGTTGGCGTCCAATTTTTTTTTCAATTTTTGAGGTCCACAAGTTAATGTTTGGTAAAGAGACATTGTTGTTCATGTGTGCTTGGTGTTTTTTCTATTTTATGATGTCTGCAGGCTAACGATATCTCTCCCATTGAAAATCCATGGGAGTTAATATGGAACGGTAACAGCTTTTTGAATGAGGATATTTTGTACAGACACTGGAGGGATCTTTTCTACTCAGGGATTTTAGTTGAAGTTTGCCTTTTGACAAATGCTATGTGAAATTATGCAAGCCCACTGTGTAATATGTCACTTTTTGGTTTGGGGGTCCATCACCTGCTTGGTTCTATGGATATGTCATTGGTATGTTCCACAGAATGACATTAAACAGCTCTACCTTATGTTTATTCAATTACAGGTGGTTTAATAACTCACAAATACCGAGAAAAACTGCTATTCTGACTGTGAGCAGTGTCAACTCTCAGCAACATCAAGCAATAACATCTCCATTAAGAAAAGCTTTTGACAGACCCTCCCCTATGAGCCATCTCAGATTTGGCTGAAAAAAAAAAAATCTAAAAAAATTCTAAAATTACCAAATGAAAGAATCTCAAATTTTAGCTCAAGTGTCATTCCTGAGTTATGGCCCGTTGAAATTTTGGGGCCATGCTCACTTTTTCTGAACCCTTAATTTATAAGCATGTTTGAGAAACCATAACTTCATATAAAATAGAGCTAGGAAGCTGAACATTTGTATTATTGTGGATTCTTGGTCATATTATTACATTTATTAAGGGGGACAATGTGGGCCCCCAAAATATCAAATTTGGTTGCCGCTCATTTATTAATTTATTTATTTATTTTCAATTTTTGAGGTCCACAAGTTAATGTTTGGTAAAGAGACATGTTGTTCATGTGTGGTCGGTGTTTTTTCCTATATTATGATGTCTGCAGGCTAACGATATCTCTCCTATTGAAAATGCATGGGACTTAATATGGAACGGTAAGAGCTTTTTGAATGAGGACATTTTGTACAGACTCTAGAGGGGTCTTTTATACTCAGGGATTTTAACTGAGGTTTGCCTTTTGACAAATGCTATATGATATTATGCAAGCCCACTGTGTAATATGTAACTTTTTGGTTTGGGGGTCCATCATCTGCTTGTTTCAATGGATATGCCATTGGTATGTTCCACAGTATGACATTAAACAGCTCTACCTTACGTTTATTCAATTACAGGTGGTTTTATAACTCACAAATACCTAAAAAAAAAAAAAATGCTATTCTGACTGTGAGCGGGGTCGACTCTCAGTAACATTAAGCAATAACATCTCCATTAAGAAAAGTATTTGACAGACCTTCCACTAGAAAAGACATGTAATGCATCATTTTAAAAGAGGCATTAAGCTTAACCAGTAAGTGCACGATATCAAGTGTGACTTAAATCCATGACCTTCTGATTACAAAGCTTTTAAACAGATGACATTGAATTTAAAAAAAAACAGTGACATCTGAACTGCTTTCCTTATCAGCAGAGTATTTTGTATATATTGTATTACTGCCTCTCTATTACTGATTGATAGATTGATATCAGTCTGCTAACTATGCCCTCTGTTGTGCTCGAGTGTGACCAAACATGATCATGCAATCATAAAAAAAACCAAAAAAAAATCCGTGATGCATGTGAAAGAGCTCATTGGTCACCATCATTTACGAACAAAATCACTTTTCTCTCACTTCAGATTAAGTTCAGTGCGTCACCCATTGATTCTGCACAAATCCGCCATGTTTTTCAGTCCCTTGTCATACTTATTCTTTCTTTCTTTTTTCCTTGTAAGTAGCTATATTTGTTTTGACACGAGCAGACCATGCATGTCTTCGATTTGCTAATCCACCTCTCAATCTTGGAGGTTTACCAGGCACCAGACTCACATCTCTGTAAAGTATCGAAGAATATTCTGGATTCCAGGCAAATTTCAAGAACTAAATGACGCAACTTGATGCCTGCTATAAATGGCTCACATTAGGCTATTTTCTGGTCTATGTTATAAAGTTGTTTCCTCATCACAAACATACCTGGAGTTGTGTTTCGTTTCATTCACACATGTTTAACATGAACCCTGCATATTTAGGCTGAGTTCTTCTCTCAAACAGAAAACACATACAGGAAGTGTACTGTGTTTTTAAACTTTGAAAACCTTCACGAGAATCATTTGGATAATTTCAACCTGGAATTGCCCATTTCTACTAGCCTGATCCATCAGCCGGTTTCACTTCATGGAAACTGTCTGACCTCGCAGCATTAGGATTCGTTCTCTCAACAGTAAGCGGGTTTGTTTTTTTTATTTAACTAATCACTGCTATTTGGTCGTGACGTATGTAATGCACCAAATCCGGTAAGAAAAGGGGCTATAACGTCTGTCCCCTTGATAAAATTCACCAAACATTCTCTCTGTTTCGGCTTTAAATCCTCAATCTCGGGAATTATTGCCAACACAGAATGTCTGGCTTCGTCTACATCCATCTTGACTGTTTTGTTTACTGTTGTGCTGTACCACAAAAGACCCAGACAGACGCCTGAGTTTGACGTCATGGCTTCGCAGTTCTTTGTTGATTGGCCGGTGCGAGATCTACAACATCCAGGGTTCTTGCAAACCATCTAGTGTACTCTGATTCCTGACCTAGTCTCTTGAGAGAAATGAAATTGAGTGAAGGCACTAGGTGGTTCCAGCTTGGCTACATTTCTACTGAACAGAAAGCAAACTAACTAAACTACTACTTCATGAAATCACAAGGTGGAAAAGGGGATTTTGAGCCTTGGAGATGTAGACAGATTAATAATAAAGGGTTATTCAAACATGTGAATAAAACAAAGCACAACTTCATTACATTATTTTTAATCAAACTTGTCATCATCTTCTTACCAGGTTTTCTATGGAGCTCTGGAACTCACTAATCTTCTTGAGCGTCTCATTGTCTCGCTTGACTTCGTTGATGTACATAGCCAGGTCCTAAAAGAGACAGCCAGCGTTTCAAAGTTTGGACATAAATCATTTTGACACATGTCTCCTCACGCTACATTTACCATTCTGCGTACAACTGTAGCCCTGTGAAGGCTTTAGCAGTGTTTTGGGGACCCGGGGCCATGGGGAGTTATTATATAAACGTTTTAAATATGGAGGGTGAGGGAGGGTCTGACCTGCATGGCCTCCAGTGCTTCCTTCAGCTGCTGTCTCTCCGGCCGATCCGTGGAGTGACTCAGAAGTTCCTGGGAACAGAGAATACTGTAAGAATACTGCAATACTAAATACATATACAATAAAATACAACACAATACATAGACTAAATACAATAATAAAGATGCAAATGTGTTATGCGTTAAAGAAGGGCATTATACTTCTATGGGGATTTAACTGCTAAAACATAACATACTTAGATCATCAATTTACCTTTTATGGATTTGCTCTCTACGCTAAGTCACTGCCCCTTCAGAGCGCCATCACAACACAACCCACTAATGAAACTACTGCACATCGCATCAGGTTTGTGAAGTTATAGTGTGTTGTTTTGCATCACGTTTTTGTATATTAATGGAGAATTGTCCCACGACCCGCCCCGGATAAGCGGAAGAACATGAATGGATGTAAGACGTATTCGCCTCACTAACGTTCATTTTTGCATCATAACTTATTTTATCACACGGCGATAAACTATTTGAGTGCACTGACAATATCACGAGCTAGTGTAACAACGTGTGAACCCTAGATCCATGTGTAACTGCACAGACAGCACAGTCCATTTCACCGCTCCTCCGCTCTGGGTAAACAGGCCTATGGGACTGAGGCTATGTGTACAACAAATACAACTGATGACCGTGGATAATGCATACAGTCTATTTAATAAAAATATGAATGTGATTTAATTTAATTGAATTTGAAGATGTCTTTTCTCATAAGTAAATTGAACATATTCTTCAATGTTATTCAAGACATTTGGTAATGAATTTGGTCATTTGAAGAGCAAACTATGAGCGGCATGTAGTACTTTCATACTTTCTTTTAAGTAGGATATTACGTGCAAATGAAAATTGTGCTTTTAAAGTTTAAAAGTCTTATCTTGACTCTTGCGAACTTTACATACCTGAAGTTCTGTTTTGTTTCATTCCCACATGTTTGAGTAATCCTACATTATTATTCTGTTTATATTGCCACCAGTAGTTTTCATGTTAACAGCTCCTTTTACCTTTAGTTCAGTAGAGATTCCAGGGCTGAAATCATCCAAATGATTCTAGTGAAGGTGTTAGATGTTTAAAAACACAGTGGAGCCCTTCATTTAATGTACCATATTTTTCGGATTACAAGTCGCTTTGGAGTATAAGTTGCACCAGCCAAAAAATGCGTAATGAAGAAAAAAAATGCTGCACTATAAGTCGCACATTTTGGGGGAAACGTATTTTATAAAATCAGAGACCAGGAACCGACATTTCATCTTGAAAGACAAGTTATAGTAAAAACAATAGAACAGAGAACAACAGACTGTTGAGGTCACATATGAACAAGTTTACAGACAACACTTTCTGCACTCAGGCTGAGCACATCTGCTGTGTTGCCAAATCATAAACCATATATATGAATGGACAATGTGCCAAACAAAGAATCCATCCATATATTAGCCGCATCGTTTTATTAACCGCAGGGTTCAAAGTGTGAGAAAAAATTAGAGGCTTATAGTCCGGAAATTATGGTACACTTTCTTTAAAACTTTTCAATCATTTCTTGCTGTCATCACAAACCTTTTTCCAATATATTAAAAAATAAAATAAAATAGACCACATTATAAGCATCAATATTTCCTATCCAGTTGTAAATCTATTAGTTTTTTTGTTTTGTTTTACTGAATCATGCTTAAATTCATAAATATTTAAAGCTAAGACATTGGACAGGAGTTGGGTGGATGTGACAACATGTTCCACCACAAACTGATGTCATCTTCATTAAAAATAATAATAATTGGGTAGTTTTTTACATGAATTAATTTGAATTTTAATCGGTTGTTTATTTTATATTTTACAAATTTAATAAAAGTGACTGACAGCTTTGAGACACCGTGAGCAAGATAGCGTGCTACTGCGCGCTGAGCCAAAATGTGTTCATATCATGGGACATATTTATGCAAGGAAATAATGTGGAATCCGCATTAATAAAAACAATGTCTCTCTCATAACGGCGTTTGCGGTGAGTCAGCATAGATCTTGCTTATTGCGTGACTCTTTCGACTAAATATGCATGAGAATATAGGGCCCACTCGCATACATTACTCAGACGCTGTTTATGCTGATTATGGACGTGTCACTGATGCGAGGAATACGTCGCATTACATCAGCATACGTTCAAATTACAGACCACAGTGAGACGGAGATTTCTATGCGCCCGGGAGGTAAAACATGTAAACACTGCAATGAGACAGTATATGTTTACGTTATGAGGTCTGTAAGGGCGCGCGTGTATTTGAAAGGGTCAAAATTTACCAAAAAGACAATAATTTTTCCTTGTCCTAGAGGTTCCTGTTGTATAAATACCACAGCGGCAGAATTAACAACCTTAAACATATCTAAATCCAAAGACGAGAGAGATGAGAAGATGACATCACCAGGCCAAGTTATAGGCTAGATCTGTGGAAAGGCAACCCCAATTACAGTAAGAATCCATGTTTCACGACAGATCTTTGAGCTATAAAAACATATACAAACCCTCCGTCCAAAAAAAGTTACTTAGTGTGAATTTATGCTGCTCCTGATTGAAATTGCATTTAGATTTTTATTATTATTAGCAGAAGAAATTAGGTTGAGGTCTAGGTCCAGGATGATGCTATAATATAATTTTTTAAAAGTCTCCATGGAAACAAGCAGGCCCTTCTCCAGTCCAAACAAGACTTAAGTTTGTGGAGATCCAAGGATGTTTTTACGTGCAATGAATACAACCAAAATGATGAAAAATTCCACAGTGGGGCTTTAAGGATCCTATAATACACAAATGTTGTGTTTTGTTTAATTCACACATGTTTTAGTAATTCTTTATTAAGGCACGCACACACACACTACAGGATTTTTTGGTCTTAAACGATTTTTAAATGTGCGAAAAAACGTGCACACAACAGACACGAGGAGAATCTTAGGAGATTTTAAATCTCCGATCGTGAAGACTGCTGCATATTTGGCTGGATATGTCTGGTTGTATACCACAGGCCTAAAAGTTGTGAGTGCACATTGCATCAGCTGTTTCCTCTCTACCGTAAAACCATTCGCATTGAGACTCGTAAACTTGTCAAGTGAAAATTTACTCAAATCATGATCAAACTTTCTTTCATCTTGGCTAGATTTTGTTTTGTGGTAAGACGATCCAAACAAAATCTCTTGCGACCCACCTGAGGATCACGAACCAGTCTTTGGGGAACAATGCATTAGAGCATGGAAACCTGACCGAAGTTCCGACAAGTTGGGACAAATATTTAAACCTTATATTCGGGCTTGGATCGGACTCGGACACAGTAAAATGACTCGCTTTGAGACTCTTTAACTGTTCAAAGGATCAGAACATTGTACTTCTAGTTTAAATGCGAGACAAAACTGTTATTATTTGTAAAATGTGGTGCAATACTTCAGATAAATGTTTTTTAATGCACAGAAGGTTGTGAAAAAAATTTACAGGAAGTAAGAGTCACTATCGCCAATTTGTAGCTTCATCCCGACCTGAGCGCTCTGTGGATGTAAACAGACACACATGAGGAACTACTCTTGCCTTTTTACATTTAAAGAATGCCTCAAACTTGATTAATAGTGCTATAATAGTTTTGTGGACTGGGTGTCATTGTTTGTGGAGGACACATTCTATGGATAATATGAATGAAAATACTGCAGTTTAACTTTACAAATTTACAAGAGGTGAGTTAATTATTTTCGGTGTTTACTGAGTTTCTATCTTGCGTCTGTGTGTTCCTAACTCTGTTTGACAATGACACTCTGTTATTGTGTTATATTGATTACAATATGAAAGAGCAGCTCAGACACCACATATGAGATGCATTGTGACTTTAGAATCGCACAAAGTCGGGTCATGCCTCCCTGAATACGGGCAGAAGTAAATTGCAGTCTCATTTGGGCCAATTCTCCTGTAGTGTGTGTAGTTGCCTTTAGTCTGTCCACATGTCCAATGCACAAAATGCTCTGTTCCACTTTGTGATGCCATGAAGCAGTATTTTTCATATTAACAGCTACCTGAAGTTCAGTGGAGATTGGCAAACTATTCAAATGATTCTAATGAAGGTGTATAGAGTTTAAAAACACATTGGAGCATGTCCTGTATCACATCACAAGGTGGAACATTGCATTTTTAGTTTGAGAGAAGAACTCAGCCTAAATTTGCAGGGTTTGTGTGTTAAACATGTGAATGAAACAAAACACAAGTCCAGGTCTGTTTGTGATGAGGAAACAACATTATAACATAGATCTGAAAAGAGCGGAATATGGGCCCTCTAAGTAATGCAATTTTAATAATGTGCCAATACATAAATAATCCATGTGAGGAGCTTTTTCTGTCCATAACCATGTTTCTGTGTGTGTAATCCTAACACTGGTAAACACGACCAATCTATCAAATATTCAGCACCTGCCTGAGACTGCTGACATGTGACACTATGCAGCTGAGTCAACCCTCTGCTCCTCCAAAAGGTAAATAACACATGAACATGAGGTCTCCAGCTCAAATCTCCTCTTTACAGAGGTTTCAAAACATCACTTAAAAATAGATTTCACAAGGTCTGCTTCTGAATAACTGCACTCCCACATGTTAAACTCCCTGCACCTGATTTTCCCATCTGCAGTATATGAGCAAAATGACCCCAGTGCAGATGCATTCCAGAACTGCGTGTTAGCTTGCTCGTACCCTTTGCATAATGTGCCTATTGCATAAAGTACTTGTTACAATTTGAATACAAGTTTTTGGACTATACGTTGCACTTTTTTCATGGTTTGGGTGGTTTTGAGACTTATATATTAAAATTTTCACACTGACAGTGGCGAGAGGCTCTAGGCTTGTGTGTCAGTATCTACTACTTTTACTCCTGTACCACTGTCACTTCGCTCTACTGCGCATGTCTCCTGCAAAAAGACAACTGAACTGACTGAACACAAATGCCCCCAAAAAGAAAATCAGATTTTGCAGTTTACAAGCTGCAAGTAGTGAAGTATGCAGCCGAAAACAGTAATTGAGC